AAGATCTTGTTTTTTATCTTTATGTAGTTGAATATATTTGTATATATACCATGACCTTGACTCGCTGTGTGAATCTATGTTCTTTTGTTTCATATGACAGTGTAATGCAAGGCCTACTGTAGGTCATGTAAGAACACTGTCTCATATGGAAAGGGTCACTGTTACAAGTGGTCATGAAAGAAACACATCAACTAAAGTTTGGTTCCTTCTAGGCCATTTTACTTTCTTAATATTAATTTTCTTGTTTAATGAAGTTTTCGCTTTTCTTCAAAATAATCTTGGGATTTTATTTATTTTGAAAGAGATTTTCAAGTTTGTTCAGTATACCCTACCTCCAGTTCTGAATTTGTTTTTATCCTCTGCTTTGTTCTTCCTTTATTTTTTCAGATTTATTATACCTGGCATGATTTTATTTTATGATCACTTATGGAACCCTTTTCATTTTCTAGTTTTGAGTAGGCTCTGTTCTCTTCATTTATATCAGAGGAAAATAGAATTGTTCAGAAATTTGTTGTTTTATCTTCGGATAATTTCCATATAGTTTTCTTTCAGTAATGGGTTTACAGTATCCGATTCAACCTTGTTGGATATATTGTTTTTGTGAATAGAAGAACAAAAATTGTAAAGGTATTAAGAATATATTATATTATGGTTAGCTTGCCATCAGCTGAAGATATGAACACACTAACTTCAAAATTAAGTGATAACCAGAGTTTTTTTGTCTTCTTCCCTCCCTTCTCTCTCTCTCTCTCTCTCTGTCTTTCTCTCTCTCTCTTTTCATCTCTCTCCTTCACCATATCTCTCCCCTCTCCATTCCTCTCTTTCTCTCTTCCTGTTTGCTCTGTTTTCTTCTCTCTGTATCTTCTCCTCTTTCTCTTTCTTCCTTCATATTTCAATTTAAAAAAAAATTCTTGTTCATATTTTTTCTTAGTCTCTCTTTCATGATTTTGTTTCAGTCAATTTCAATTTTGTCTTCAATGTTTTCATATCCTCACTATTCACTAACTTCCAACACAAAATGTATAATAACGAGTAAGAATGTACTCTCTTACTTTGAAAAAAATGATGAAATGCTTCCGGAGTACTGCATCAGTTCATCTGTTCTTATACCTATCTATTTAAAGATATGTTTACGCCCACTGATCTTCCATACCCATAAGCGAGTGATAGAGTTTCCTAATTAGCTGCCTGTCAGAGAGTCGGATATCCATGGTGTATTAAGAACTCATGCCCTCTTTGATGTTCGTTGGTCCATGTTGACTGCCTATAAATTCTAAATGGGAATTGTCTTGACAGTGTTTACCCGCTTCTCTCCGTCTGCATTCCATTCATGTATGAGTGCTATATTTCACAGCATGAGACGGCAGGGGATGGCATGCGATGTCAGCTAGTGGTCTGCCTAGTTTCTCCACAGACGGGCTCACTTTAAATGCCTAGATTGCTTGTCTTAGCCATTCCAATTACGTGAGGATGGCCATTTAATCAGGGCTATTAAATGATTTCAAGTGATTTACATCTTTGTTTTGACGGGGGATAGTCCAAGTGCCAATTATTTTGTCTGATTTTCTCCTGTGAAGTGATAAGAACTCGTATAACTGTCCTCTGATGCCAGATGTTTTCACTAAACCTTATAAACATTTCTAACCAATGAGAAAAGTTCTTGAGAATTTATTTGGCTGATTTGATAAAACCCATATATATCCCTTTACAATAGTTATTTTCAAAATTTTAGGATATAACAAAAACAATTATTATATTTCAGTGCTTTTTCACACATCAGAAAAGTGCATTTTATCAACAGAAAGAGATGTAATGTGTTTATATTTCTAAAAGCATCATTGCATAAAGATTCGTGATTGATGAGTTACATAAACCGTTTTGCATATTTAAACCTTTAATAAAATGTAAATACCATACAGAATAATAATCTTTTTATATAATGATGCAAATTTATAATAACATCAGTATTGATGATAATATTATTATTATGATGATAACAATTACAATATTTATGCTGATTCAGATTGTTCAAATATGGGCCATCAGGGAATATTAAGCACTTAGACTGTCAATATGGATAGTAGATATATCATTCCATAAAGGAGTCCCACATGAAAGTAACTTCTCTCTGGATACTATCATCAAGACCTTATATCATCATCAGCAGTGTAAACTAAGTCACATTTCTGAGCAAATCTCCTTTCCCTCCATCCCTTCCATTTGGTAGAGTGATGATAGATAGATCACCATAGCCTTGGGTAACTCACACCTTCATAGAGACCTTTGGGGAGCGATTGTTGCGTCAGTTGCTTCGATTTACATGCTTCAAGTAGATTGACAGTGCCATATGTTGATTTGTTCTCTTCAAACATTTGAAAAATAACAACTAGCAGGCAGGCAGGCTGATGCAGTAGTCTCTCAGCGGACTGACCTTTCTCCAGTCTTCTGTGTTGGTGTAGATGGGTGGGGAATGTAGATGGTTTGGATCCAAGAATCCCAGAGGTGGAGTCCGTCCTGCCCACTATGGCAATTATTATAATGCATTTAAATTGTTTCTTCTGCTTGTAAAGTTCTCCTCTTCTCTTCTTTTCATGTGCCTTTTAATTTGAGATGCAAGCATACATCACAGTTTATAGATATCTAACTACCTTTTGTGATATACATGTTCCAAAATATCTAAACATCCAAGTGATATCAATGTTAGGCATGTTGCATAACAATATAAACCAAATTAAAAGCTGGTAAAAAGTGTCTTGTTTTCATATACTAGATTTTGTTTTTAAATTTCATATGGTCATTTAAAGTTATTCTGTAGGTTTGAACCAGTTAATAGAAGAGTTAAACACAGCAAGACAGATGTTAATAGACATCTTTCTTCCCATTACCCATCTGCAGCACTTGTTATGAATATAAATCACTTGAAACACTGTCCCTTATCCCTGTGTGAATGGAGTGACCTGCAATGAATTGCAATAAAACCATTTTAACGGTTTTGATGCCTATCATCTGTAGTATTCACATAATCCTGCATCAGATATAGATTTTGTCTTTTTGTTTATCTTGTCAGATGTACAGAAATAAGTAGGACATACCATAAAGTTTCTAATTCATATGGGAAAATCTGATGTTGAAATATTTCAATATGTTGAACATAAAATACTTCACCTTAGAAATTCTGATGTTTTCTCTTGGGTAGCCATTACAGTTGTTAAAATATCAAGTCTTGTGATAAACTTTCTAATTCTACCTGATCCTTGGACCTTGTGTAAATGGAGGTACTTTTAAATGAGTATCCAGTATTCCTCATCATCTGGCATTTATGTAAATTGAATAATGAAGGGGGAGGGACCTATTAAGATGAAAGATCATCGTATTATACATTTGCCAAAGTATCTGAAGTGAATCTGTTGCATAAAGATTAACAAACCCTCATTCTCTATCACAGATATGTTTTCATAGAACACACACACACTCACCAACACCTACATGTACTGTCTAATTACTTGGATTCATTTCATGAGGTATTCAGACACCGCCCCCTCAAATGAAACTGATATCAACTGACCAACCCTCGAAACACATCATCCAATCTAAGATGAATCACTCTAGACACATGTCCTCAGGGAGTGTAAATTGATCGCATTGCCTCATTAGTTCTTTTCAATGTCAATTAATTCAAATAAGAATTAGGATACATACTGTCACAGTAAGAGACAAGGGGGTATAATATCCATATGATACATGTTACTATTAAAGTACCAGTTTCAGAAGGTAGTATGGATAAGTAAATTATGGGCTGCCATTGAAAAGAAAGAAAGGGAACCAGTAAGATAGATGTAAGCCTTAAAATAACATTGTTTCATTGGAGAGCTATTTGTAGCTACTCCAGATTACTGCTTTGATTGATGTAAAGTGGAAATCCTATTTGGTGAAAAACATGTTGAGTGACTTCTGAACATAAATGAAATCAAATGCTTGAAAGCATTATTCAGGCAGTGAAGGCATAATGTTGCAAGACTATGTGAAAATTTTATATGAAGTTTATATTGAAGTAATTGGACCTTGCTGAATTTCTTCAAGTTTTGAAGTGTAAGGTTTAGTTTTGTCTCTTTATTTGTTGTGATTGAAAGTGATTGAGATTGGTATGGCATCCATTACGCCATATAACTGTCATCCGCAAAGGCTTCAGTCGAGTGAGATTTTCATTAAATGCAGCTAGGAGAATTTTGATGATTGTTGATATTGAAATACTTCTCCCTGAGAAGAAACAGCTCTCGCAATATTAAAGACTTACAGGTCATGTCCATAGAATTGTACATCGTGCAAAATATACATAAGGTACACCAAATATGCCATATATACCCGTACTACAATATAAAACAAACCCTGATATTATTTTCGGGAAATGATCAATTATGTCATGCATGATATCTCCTGTATTTGAACTATACTAACAAGCCAACTGAAGTCCAATCTTTTTGCCTCAGAACTCCTTATAGAGTGGTGAAGTGTGACGTCATCAAAAATCTATTTTTAGAATTTCTATTAAAAAAAACATTATGAGCCAGAGCATATAACACTGAGTTCCTATAGGAAATATATTCATTCAGATGGTCATATCTCAGCCAATACTTAACATATTCAGTTGGTTGTCGACATTTGGACATTATTTTTTATGCTCCTTTGGAAATGAAGAAAAAAATGAGAAATTCTAAAAATAGATTTTTATAATACCACAGCTTTGGTACTCTATTGCATGTATGATTCTCCACCCATTCAATGGATCTGGACAAAATAAGAGGTCCTGTACTCTGATTAATTATCAGCTGTGATGGCCAGATGGAGGAAATTACCATGATCATTATTTCCCTTCTTAATCTTCTTCTACTGAGTCTACATTTGAGTCTTTTCACAACATTACACCTGTTTAACTACATTGACAACCAGTGATAACCTAACTATTGAAGCTATGAACTAAATGATGTATATTGATTTCCTAGGCTCAACCAGGACCCCCAGAGGACTTGATTCAACCAGAAAGTATCCAGGCTGTACAATCTGCCCCAGAACAGTCCCTACGGCCGTCCAATATGCCTGTAGATGCTTGTAGACCTCTTGACTTGGTCATCCCTGTGATTGGTGCAGGCTTGGGATGTATCTCAGGTAGGAATACATACCCCTAATATGCAAATCATCTGTAATTCGGCAATATTGCTGCAAATCTTGATTTAAAAAAAATGAATTAAAAAATTCATCAATGAAATGAAATGAGACACCTCCCAGTCCAATTATGTGGGTATACAGCCCACTGCTGCCACCTCAGTTAGTAATAGTGATAGTGGTGGTTATTTTACCTGACAGCTAAGAAAGCAATAAATGCTTGTTAGTAAGCAACCAGAAGACAGACGGCTTTGTTGGACATGGTAATGAGGATTAATGCCTTACCAAAGGGCACTAGCGCATCGACATGGTTTCGAACCCGGATCGCCGGATAACGAGACCACTGCTCTACCGACTGAGCTATCGCGCCTCCTCCTTAATGAGGTCAGTAACTGCACAATCTCATACACAGCATCTAGGTTAAGTAAAAATGACTAAGGGTAACAATTAGTGTCATTCTAGTATGCTGGGGATGTTGAAGTTTTTTAAGTGCTCCCCCAAATTTGTGATTCAATTATCTTTTGATAACCCCTAGCATAAATCTGCTCTTTAGTGTATTAATGCATGGCAATCTTTGAAACTTCACTCTAGGTCAGGTCAAGACACCATCTGGCCGTAAGGAAATACCAGTTATCATTGAGAACAAGGATGGTACCATTACTGTCAAGTATTCACCAACAGAGACTGGACGTCATGAGCTAGCTATCAAGTACAATGGAAAGGATGTACCAGGTAAGAACAACTTCTGATTTTCATGTGCAATGTACCTCCAGCTTAAGTTCCTTTGATAAGTGTTTATACCATTGGAACATCAGCATTGCTCATTAATTGTATGATAATTAGTTTAATACAAAAACATCTAATATAATGTTTTACTCAGTAATATGAATTTACTATTCAAGTTTGAATCAGCAATATTCAAAGCTTTTTAATTTTCCTGGTGCTTAAAACTCTTTTTAAAGTCTTGTCTTCTACACACTGCACTTCACTTTTGTTCCAATTTTTGTTTTTCCACCTTGCAGGCAGTCCATTCCACTTCCATGTTGATGAGTTGAAGAGTGGTAATGTGACAGCCTATGGTACCGGTCTTACCCATGGTATCAGCAACGAGCAATGTCACTTCATCATCAATACCAAGGATGCTGGTGCAGGTAAGAGTCGTACAACATGCAACCTATGGGAACAAAGTGGGCCCAATAGTATGGCTATGGGAATAAACAAAAATTAATAATTAATGGGTTTAATTTCTTAAATCATGATTTAATTCACTTGCCCTTAACCTTAGTGGATGATTTTTGTTTATAACACACAGTTTCAGTAGACTCTTATTAGCGATACCTTAGGCTTTGTATTCATTTGGAGTAACATTTGCAAGTCATTGAAAGGAAATAGGAGAATGTTGATGAAATGAAATTATTTGAAGTTACATTTAGATTGGCGATTCAAGTTAGACCAGGCAAGTATCAAAAGAACATTATTACTGAGTAAGAGATCTTGCTCCATTTATTTAATAGCTGAATTTTCTGGAAAATTGTTTCTAAAGCACGTTTTGATGTGAGTAAACATAATATAATTGTCAATGACCAGACATGTCAATTTGTACAACTTCACCCCGAGTCTTAGCTCTGAATGGTGAATATATGATGTGCTTTGTTTCAGGTGGTTTGGCCCTTGCTATTGAGGGACCTTCAAAGGCTGAGATCAAATGCGTAGATAACAAGGATGGTACATGCAGTGTGACTTACTTCCCTACTAAGCCTGGACAGTATGACATTGTCGTCAAGTTTGCTGATAAACACATCCCAGGCAGTCCTTTCTCTGCTCAGGTCGTTGGTACGACACCGTCTCTTTTTTATTTATATTCTAACACTTTAGATGTTTAGATATCTTACAAGTATCAATGTCGGGTACAACTCTTTTTCATGGCATTGAATAATTACATGTTACTAAGAGAAACATCAAATGAATTATTATTATTGTTATTATTTCTTTATTGCAACCAAAACTTGAGGTTGGATTTCAAATGCTTGTATACCCAAACAATGAAATATGCATCAAAACAGTGCATCATGTTGGTAACACAAAGCAAATACAAATTGACATTTAAGCATCCTGGAAAAGAAACATAATAATAATTAGAATTAAACAAAAATTGATTTCATGACAATGTGGAAGTATTAGATATAATCGATAGTGAATGATGTGAGGGTCTCTTTGTTGTTTTTACAGACAAGTCTGGTAGCAGGATGTCGATTGGCACACCTAGCGACGTTCCTCTGAAGATTACTGAGTCCGATCTCAGTCAACTCACAGGCAGTATCCGTACACCTTCCAAGCATGAAGAACCATGTGCTCTCAAACGTCTCAATAATGGAAACATTGGTAAGCAATCCACCATCCACCAATCTCATTCTGGAAAGTATGATATATGAAATTGAAGCGTAGAGATACAGGTGTGTTTGTGCAAAGAAGGAAAGTGTTTGTCCAAGAAGATGATTAATCGAAAGGGATTTTCCTATGTTAAAGATGAACTCTGCTTTGGAGCAGCAGATTTTGAGTATGTATTCTTCAATAGCACTGTGTGACTGATGGTATGATAATATGAAGCAAGGTTGCTCATCTCTCCTGCTCTCTTTTCTTGTCTAGGTATCACTTTTACTCCCAAGGAGATTGGTGAGCATCTAGTGAGTGTAAAGAAGAGGGGACAACACATCCCTAGCAGCCCCTTCAAGATCATTGTAGGAGCTCAAGAGGTCGGGGATGCTTCCAAGGTCAAGGTCACAGGTCGTGGTATCAAAGAGGCCCAAGCAGGTCAAATGGCTCAATTCCTGGTTGATACTAGGAATGCTGGTAAGCTTGATTACTGTCTTCTCTCCTTCACATATAATTAATACAGGAATCACCTGGTTCATGTAGGTAATGTGTTAACTGGTATCATTGCAAAACATTCCATTTTCTTCAGGTGAAAACAGACTAACAATGATTCTTGTATGAAACACATTGAGATAGGGGTCTGTTATATTCATTACTAGCAGTAGCTATATTTTCAGAAATCGTGACAAATTCATGAAAAAAGATCACCTTGTATTCTTAGTTTTCCAAAGGGATGACAACAATTATTGCACACTAGGACATGTTTATTGATTAATTAGCATTTATCTTGTTCATTTTATAAACTCCCTTTTTCTATGCATTGTATACAACTTCTGACTATTATTGCTGGTGTGTTTGTGTTTAACTGATGGCAGGTTATGGAGGTCTTGGTGTATCTATCGAAGGACCAAGCAAAGCAGATATTAACTGTGAGGATAATGGTGATGGTACCTGCCTTGTCACCTTCACACCCACTGAGCCAGGGACATACAATGTCAACGTACACTATGCTGATCAACTAGTACCAGGTAACTAAGAAGGACCACTGATTACTTAAAGCAAGCCAGAAATATAGTAGCCACTTCAGAAACGATTTTGTAGGATTATTTTTTGTTCCTATAGTCCTTTGTATGTTTTGCTTTAACATGTAAATGGTACAATACATTCAATTCAATTCAATTAAAAAATGAGTATACGGTGGGCAATTATACACCTATATGTGAAGGTTCAGTTGAGAAGTTATTGTGATTTTTAAAAATAGACGTTTGGCACCCATATTTATTTGGTTTAGGTCAGATTAGATAAGGAAATATCGCTGTACCATTAGAAATCTTTGTTACCGGATATCAACAGATCAACAAATTAATAAATGTTATAATTATGTCTACTATAAGAATACTTTTGGAAATGTATTATGTCCACTGTATGACTTGAACTGATGATGTTTGTATTGTTATGCAGGGAGTCCGTTCCAGGTTGCAGTACAAGGAGATTCAACAGAGTTGCCTCTGATCAGAGAGACCTTGGTCAGACCTACTAAGGCTACTCCAGTATCCAACGTTGGTAGTGAATGTGAACTTACAGTCAAGATCCCAGGTAAATAAGACCATGAAAAATCGACCTGTCAGTGTGTAAGGCACATGTATCGCAGAGATTGAAACTTATGTTTGGCACCTATATAATTATCCCTTGCTTCGTTTCTAACTCTATGACCAATATCCTTAAGAGAACTTTTGATAGTTTGACTTCTTATGTTAGAAATTTGCATGAGAAGCCCTCTGTGTGAATAAAGTTAAAAATGAAATACTTTTGTATTTTTAGTCCAGAATATGATATAGTATGTGTATGGGATTTTTCACATGCAGTATAGAAAGATTAACCTGTGTTGAGAAAGACAATTGTGGAGATAAAATATCAGTTCACAATTTCTTTTCACACTTGTCTTTCCCCATTTCCCAACTATTACCTTCCAAGTTAATTGATGATTTTGATGTTGAGAAAGAATGTTAAAATGGCGATTGACTAAGTTCTGTGACTGTGATTGCACATCAGGCACGGATCCACTGGACATGACTGCCCAGGTGACTAACCCAGCTGGACGTACAGTAGATGCTGAGATCATGGACAGACCTGACTGCAAATACTGTGTCAAGTTTGTTCCTGCTATGGAGGGTGTACATACAGTCAGTGTCAAGAACAAAGGCTTGCATGTCCCAGGTAAGTTATTCATTTTCTCTTTGCTTTATTGAGGAATTTCTATCTATCTTTAGTAGTAATATTATGTTTGCCTGTATACATGTAATATTATGCCATGCGCTTTACATTCTGATGTACCGGTATACAAGTGCTATATACATGTATGAATCCATTATTATGTCTATTATTTTTTTCTTCGTAAAATCTGTGAAAATGTGTCAGTTAATGAGACTTTAGAGCAACATGATTTTAATTGGTATTATATGTTTATAAACATTTATATGACTTGAATCTTATTTTTAGATAATTTCTGTTCATTTATGTAATAAGTGTGTCACAATAATGACGCATTTGTTTGGAAACTTTTGTATATTTGCAAATCATTATTCTCAACTGTTCATGTACACTCATCTTGTACATACACAACAGTGTCACCAAGAAAAACTAATGTATATGTAAATTTGGTTATGTATTTCTCTATAATTCATCACTATTTAATTCCTTTTTGTGTTTGTCGGGCCATTGCAGGAAGTCCATTCATGTTCACAGTTGGTCCATTCGGTGAGGGTGGAGCACACAAGGTCCATGCCGGAGGTCCAGGACTAGAGCGAGGAGAGGTCAAACAACCAGGTAAGACCAGGTCCAGTAATATTACTCTCAAATTCATCACTCAACATCGGTTTGAATTTTAAGAGAATGAAGTTCAAGCACAGGATATATGTTTTGTAGAATAGACTTGTCTTGTTTTTTTTTTCTGTAACACTGAAATTGTGCCAATACTGCAGTTTTGTAATAAATCAGCCATTCTCTTGATTTGATTTGATTTGTAGCTGAGTTCACAGTCTGGACTCGAGAAGCTGGCCCAGGAAAGTTGGGCATCACAGTATCCGGTCCAGCCAAGGCTCCAATCAACTTTGTTGATAACAAGGATGGTTCATACTTGGTCTCCTATGTACCAACTGTACCAGGTAGGTTGGTCATAGATTATATACCGGTAGCCAGCCCCCCCCCCCCCCCACCTCTCTTAACCTCTCCCAAATCTCCCAAGTCTCCCAAGAATGTATTTGATAGGTTACATAGTGCCCAGACCCTTGTTATGAATGTCTTAAAACTTTAAGAGTTGGCGTTTTCTTATTAAAATTAGTTACATACAGCCCCCTTTTTTCAACATCTTGCAAGTTGGTCTTTCATAAGTTACATGCCTCCCCCCTCTCCTTTTGATGACGATGAGTATGGTTTATACTTGCTCTCATATATATGCGCAGTACCAGATAGGGCTTGAGATATTGATTATTAGTTCCTCCTGAGGCTCCTCTGCAAAATTGTACTTTTGCTTGATGATGATCACTGATATACATAATCCATTTCTTTATTTCTAATGCTCATTTTAACTGACTCTTCAAAATGATTTGTGTCCATAATGAGTTGTTTCTATCATAAATACTATAATTGTATAAGGGTATTTGTTTCTCTACATCCACTGTAGATGTAGTCACGCTATGAGATTGGTTCTACTTTATTTTTCCTCTGCTTTTCAGGTGAATACGTGGTTGATATCAAATTCAATGACAAGCCAATCCCAGACAGTCCTTACAAGCCTTTTGTTGTACCACCCCTTGGTGAGGCAAGGAGATGCAGTGTATCCAGCATCCAGGTCAGTTTAACTATAAACAGCCTCTTTCTTCTATCCTCTCCTTCTTTATCTCTTCCTCTACCTGCCTCTGTTTCTTCCATTTCTAAGTTCTCCCTTCTCCTATATCTCCTATTTCTTCATTTCCTACCTCTCAGGAGTGTTTTAGATATGTATCAATGTTTTTTATCCTTTAAGATGTCTCTGATTGGTTAGCTATATTTCAGTTTCGACAAGTTTAACTATGCATCTATCTAAGCAAGATTGGTAGACACTCGGTGGTAGGACTTGTATTTGTCTCATCAACTTCAGAAGAAAAAAATATGGCAACCGTGTATCTGACTAGCTACATTCAAATTAATCATAACAAATTGATGTAACTCCCAAGGATTGAATTGATGTGTGATATAATGCTTTTCCTCTGCAGGAACATGGTATCAAGATCAACCATCCAGCCTCATTCGTGATTCAACTCAATGGTGCTAAAGGTCATTTGAAAGCAAAGTGTAAATCACCATCTGGAGCTGAGATTGATTGTGTTATCACCGAGATTGATGAAGGTGAGTTGTCATGACGATCTCTCTTTTACTCTCAATCACAACCATCAATCTTAAAATTTATTTGAGAAGTGATAAGACCATAGTAGCCATTGAATATTAAAGCAAAGGTTCAAGTGCCTTTAATAGTTGATGGATTACCAAGTACAACAAACAATTTGAGCTCAATTCTTCAATTTTCTTGTCTGCTTGGGTTAATAATGAGCTTGAGACTAACAGATGTCATCTTTTGAATCTTTTACAGAGAATTATGCAGTGCGTTTCCTACCAACTGAGAATGGAATCCACAGTGTGGAAGTCTTCTTCAAGGATTCTCCGATCCCAGGCAGTCCATTCAGGCTTAGGGTTGGTACAGTAGAAGAAGTAGGAGATCCAGGACATGTTCATGCTTATGGAGAAGGATTGGAGAGAGGAAAGACAGGTCAGTTTCTCTCATATCTATTTGTATTTTGTTTAATGATTATTAGCAATTCTTGGAAACTGCATGATGAATAGAATTTATATTATTCACTGGGGTCTATTTATTCATTAGACTGTCATGCACATTTTTTTCCAAACTGTTAATATTGAAAGTATTATCAGGACAGGAAATGGGAAGTTTAAACGTATTTCTACAGAATATTAAAATGGGGATGATTTGCCACTCTGTTAAATGTTAAGATTTGAATATATGCACAAGTATACAACACCAACTTTAAAGTGACTGCTGCGTGCTAAGTTAGTGAAATAACAAATTCAAGACAAACCAAATGATACCAGAAGTACCTGTTAACTACTCTGCAGATTTCTTATGATCTATTTAAGTCTCTATATCCTCAAATGTTTTATGATTGTTTTATCAGGAGATAAGTGTGAATTCATCATCAACACCTGTGGAGCTGGAGCAGGTACCTTGGGTATCCAGATTGATGGTCCATCTAAGGTCAAGTTAGATGTGACTGAGATTGGTGAAGGATACAAGTGTGTCTACGTCCCAACGCATCCTGGAGAATACATGATTACTATCAAGTATGGTGGTCCCACTCATATCACTGGCAGTCCCTTCATGGCTAAGATTACCGGTAAGTTAGGGCTCTTCATCCTCACATTCATTCGTCAATGAATCGAAATTTAATGTGTCACAAACTAGAGGTTTTTTTTCTGTTTTATTGTACATGTTTATGTTTTTTTTGTTAAGAAAGACGCACATTACACAATATGCACATGTAGAAATAGCAATTTAATGTTTTGACTGCTTTTATCATGGAAGTCCATTTACTTTTTGTTCCAGTACAAAAAAATCGCTCATATTTGCAACACATGGTCAGATGCAATCACATATTTCCCCCTTCATATCTTAAATTGTTATTATCAAATTAAGAAAAACATGTATTCTTATAGTAGTAGATTACGCTGTGATGTAGTACGAGAATAGCGGCATCCATTAATATCTCTGTTTGATCATTGTTTAGGATCTGCAAAGGGAGGCAAGGCAGGCAGCGTTGAAACAGCCCAAGTCATGGTAGAAACCATCGTCAAGACAACCACCACAACAGGTTTCCAAGCTCCAGTCTTTACTTCTGATGCTAGCAAGGTTGTTTCTAGTGGAATGGGTCTCAAGAAATCATTCTTGAACAAGAAGAGTCAGTTCCAAGTCAACTGCTCAGATGCAGGTTAGTTTTTTCTACTCTCCGTTTTTATCCTTTTTTAAAATTACCGGTACACCATAGGTACATGTCAAATATATATCTTTAAAATTATCACAATATGACTTGGTTTTTACAACATGTCATTGAAATCAGTAATTATGTACAGAATTCACATTGAATATGTGTTAGATTAGAAGGCAGATGATTCAGCTATCACTCTGAAAGAAAATTTTACACATTCTTAGGGCATTCTGGTATTCTTTTGATAACATTTATCATATGATTATAATACAGTTAGTGAATGAAATTTTGCAATGAATATATATTTGATAATACGCTTATATTTTGTGGCAGGTATTTGTAGATCATAAAATAATTTTCCGCATTGTTTGTTTTGTTTCAGGTAATAACATGTTGATTGTAGGTATCGCTGGTCCCAAGACACCTTGTGAAGAGATTCATGTCAAACACACCTTCGGTCAGCGTTACACAGTAACTTACCTACTCAAAGAGAAGGGTAACTATGTCTTGATAGTGAAATGGGGAGATGAGCACATACCAGGCAGTCCATTCAGCCTTCAATGTGCTTAGATGATCAAGATATGATCAGAGCAATATGAGATTGCATCTCAGCTCGGGGCCGGGCTTGGGGGCTCCTCCGAACACATCATCAACTTCTTCCTCGCGTTACATATGCAAGACATGCACCCGGCGCATTGAAGCTTGATGCACCTGTACATGTCTAAAGAAGGTTTTATTTTAAAGCTCCAGTATGGGAGGATGATAATTATCAAGAAGAAAAAAAGGAAAACTGCCAGATGTTTTGTGTTCTTGTTGATGAGATGGAAATTAATAGATATTTCTTTTCTTTTCCACCATTGGGTGCATTATATATATGTCACTGAGGAAATGAGTTGTGGAATCTTACATCGACTAGCAAGTACGAGCTATTGCTTATGATTATGTTCTAAAATCAATTCTATTTTTCTTCCAGCTCATTTGGTCAATCTTTTAGCTTCCAACATTGAATGTTTAGTGATTGCTAAGGTATATGAAATTGTTACATGACCTACTAGATACATGTATGACTACAGCAATTATTCATGTTTATTGCAACCGTGTATACAAGGGATACTTTTTTATTTTGTTATGATCGACTTACAAACTTATCCCAATATATAATTTGGGGGAATGATGATTAATAATTAATAATATAAGGTGTATTACATATGAATATTGATAAGAAGACTGATATTAATCCCTCTTTGAAATGATAATGTAGATATTTACAATGTAAAATGAAAGATTTTGTTTGCAGAGTGAAGTAGTCTTTCAAAAGAGTGGTTTTGAAATAGTTTAAAAATGCACATAGCCAAACATAATTTTAGTTTAGGATCTAGCCATATAAATCATGATGGCCGGTGATGTAGACATTGGTCTAATGCCTTGATATGAGTTCAATGAGGTGGATATAAGTATCGCCAAAATACACAACTCATTTTTAACAAATTGATGGAAAGAATTTCATACTTAGATTATTTTAGCAGGTTTGATGAAACCCAAACCTGCTCGAGTTGCCTGAAGAAAAGATATGAACTGCAAAAATGATGAACTTTTTTATAATGACACTGCTAAGCAGAGAAATTTGTATTTTTCAGTATTCTGAATCTGAGTTCCACTCTTATCCTAATAATATTACTGATATTGTATTCATATTTGTATAACTTTTGATAATTGATAAATTGTAATAATAACAGTAGTAGTATAACTCAACTCGAGCATAATTTATTGTAAGTAATGATCATGAATATGTTTATTTTGCATATCTTCAGAGATATTGATCTTTTACTTAATTATTAGTTTTGATACAAAATATATCTGCCTAAACAATTATCAATATTGTGAATCTTGACTTCACAAAATCATAGTTATGATGGAAGATAAAGAAAGAATTTGCAACTTACTATGTATATATACATGTGAATCAGACATTGAAAAAAGATGGTCCTTGCAAAGAACCAGTTAAGAATGTGATTGTGATTGCGATATTAATGAAATGTATTGGAAATGGTGTTGATTATGATGTGTTATATTTTTTGTCGTACATGCATACCGTATTTCATGTTTGGTTTCAGTGTTTTTTCACTTTTTTAATTTTCTTTTTTTATGATTTGGGATATGCTTTGGAACTCAGTACTACCTGTATTTGTAGCACTTAATTCCTAGGTGTTCAGTTTAATATTAGGGGAACAGTTGTCTTCCTAGGTGTTTAGTTTAATAGTAGGGGAACAGTAAGTTGTCTTGTAGCAAAAGATAGTTTAGTAGATACCAAGCAATAAGAACTTATAGACATGTTTATATGGTATGTGTGACTACTGTCAAGTTCATTTGTCTGTGTGAGGTGTAATTTTTTTTTACAATTCATCTCTAAAAACAAAAATAATAACATCGTGCAAAATATCTCCATATTGTTGTATTGGAAGTATCATTTTTGTTAAGTAGTATAGATGGCTGAAAAGAGTGATTACTTGCTATTTGTGTAGATTTTTTTTTTACTGTGAATATATATTAAAACAGCATTAATATTATTGAATTTTATTACAAAGCACAGTTTCTTTTTTTTTTTGGTATGTAATTGTTATTATGTAGAACAAAATGCAATGCTTGTTAATTAGAATTTATGCAATTGACAGAAATAAAATTATGTATAACCTTAGATTCTTTATGCTAAAATTGTCATATATAGTGAAGCATTACTTATTTAGTTATACAAAAATAATCAAAATTTAGCATTATTTAGCTGGTTTGTAGAATTTATGTGAAACTACATATTCTAATTGTTGCAGTAAGATTTATTTGCCACATTGTTAACAGTGAAATAGAAAGCTATTGTGGGGATATATAAGATGGAAAATAAATTCTCTGTATGACATGGGTTTTGAATTAATCATTGGTGATACTAAGGTATAGCCCAAGCAATGGGTAAAAATGCATTAAAAGGGATTATGGAGCTTTGAAACTGTAGACTGAAGTGTTTCTGTCTTATTTTTAAATTTTTGATGTGAATGAACCTGTGCTTATGGGCATATTCAACTGGCAATGTGTTACTTATTAGCTTGTTGACATTTTGTTCATTTGTGGTAACAAAAACTACTCGTGCTAAACAAGGGATTTTAATAAAATAAGTCGGTGGAATGATACAAGCAGATACATGCTCGAGAGAGATTCCCAGTTGAATATGCACCATTTCTTTGGATTGAGTGAATACTTAATATGTACATACTCTTTAAAGGATGGAAACATTCAGCAGTTCAGGGGTTCAAAGTAAAAGGCATGCAGTAAAACATCACCTAGATGGGGAGAAAGGAAGACAGATGTGAGAGGGTGGGGGAGAGGGAATGGGAAAGACAAATATTGGAGATGATGGAAAGGCAGAGATATTGAAGAAAGAGGAGGAGAGATGGGGAGAGAGGGAAACAGATGTGAGAGAGAGAGGGTGGTATGGAAGAAAGAGGAGGAGAGATGGGGAGAGAGGGTGATTTGGAAGGAAGTGGAGGAGAGATGGGGAGAGAGGGTGATTTGGAAAGAAGTGGAGGAGAGATGGGGAGAGAGGGTGATTTGGAAGGAAGTGGAGGAGAGATGGGGAGAGAGGGTGATTTGGAAGGAAGTGGAGGAGAGATGGGGAGAGAGGGAAACAGATGTGAGAGAGAGAGGGTGGTATGGAAGAAAGTGAAGGAGAGATGGGGAGAGAGGGTGGTATGGAAGAAAGTGAAGGAGAGATGGGGAGAGAGGGTGGTATGGAAGAAAGTGAAGGAGAGATGGGGAGAGAGGGTGATTTGGAAGGAAGTGGAGGAGAGATGGGGAGAGAGGGAAACAGATGTGAGAGAGAGAGGGTGGTATGGAAGAAAGTGGAGGAGAGATGGGGAGAGAGGGTGGTATGGAAGAAAGTGAAGGAGAGATGGGGAGAGAGGGTGATTTGGAAGGAAGTGGAGGAGAGATGGGGAGAGAGGGAAACAGATGTGAGAGAGAGAGGGTGGTATGGAAGAAAGTGAAGGAGAGATGGGGAGAGAGGGTGATTTGGAAGGAAGTGGAGGAGAGATGGGGAGAGAGGGAAACAGATGTGGGAGAGAGAGGGTGGTATGGAAGAAAGAGGAGGAGAGATGGGGAGAGAGGGTGGTTTGGAAGGAAGTGGAGGAGAGATGGGGAGAGAGGGAAACAGATGTGAGAGAGAGAGGGTGGTATGGAAGAAAGTGAAGGAGAGATGGGGAGAGAGGGTGGTATGGAAGAAAGTGAAGGAGAGATGGGGAGAGAGGGTGATTTGGAAGGAAGTGAAGGAGAGATGGGGAGAGAGGGAAACAGATGTGAGAGAGAGAGGGTGGTATGGAAGAAAGTGAAGGAGAGATGGGGAGAGAGGGTGATTTGGAAGGAAGTGGAGGAGAGATGGGGAGAGAGGGTGATTTGGAAAGAAGTGGAGGAGAGATGGGGAGAGAGGGTGATTTGGAAGGAAGTGGAGGAGAGATGGGGAGAGAGGGTGATTTGGAAGGAAGTGGAGGAGAGATGGGGAGAGAGGGTGATTTGGAAGAAAGATGGGGAGAAAGGTAATTCTCTTGGGCATTGCGGAGTTGCTGGTGTGAGTGAGATGAAGGGAGGAGATAAAGGCCATTAATATCAGGGTAAACGTTTCTGGAATACATGCCGATATTAGACGTATTCTAAACAAGGGAGACAACTCACTATGCAAATCTTTTTCATATTCACCAATGGTCAAACTACAAAGCAATATGTACATTTTCTATCAATCAAAATGATAATACAAAAACATCCTCTGTATTAACTCCTTGAACGTTCAATATCAACAAACAAATGATGCTACATGACTCTTCCTTTTTGCAGAAGCAACACGAATTAGTTTGGGCAATTCCAAATCGATACAAATGATGATTTGTGTACATAATTCCATGTTTAAATTGGAACACCCTCAATCGGCTGTTTAATGTACACTGTCTTGGTCTCCTAAAATCGTTTTCAATATCTTTATAAGAAGAATTATGTTTATCTTTTATTCTTTCAAAAATATTTGGCGTTACTGATTTCTGTTCAAGAAATTCTGTGTAGCTTTTTTTTTTTTTTATACAATATCACTTATTGATATAACATTTTTTCCCCAGTACAAACTTTATTCCTTATACATCATGGACCGTACCACTGTATTTTCTCATATTTCTTTTTCAGCTAACTGGAAGTGTTTCATAAATTGTCTTTATTACTTTAAAGGCATTATATTCAATCCCAGCTGTCGGAAATATGCAAAAGATCTTAAGTTTCCACTTTGGTGTATAATATGTTTTTATTTCATATATATTTTCATCGAATAGGTTTTTGTAAAAAATGCACGTCCCATTTACTCGTATGAATTTTTTATCAAAAATTATCTAAATTCCGTTATATGGTTCATATTTCATCTGAAAATCTCTCGTATCCATCCAAACAATTACCATTACCCCCCCCCCCCCCACACCCTCCCTGTATGATTCCTGGTGTTTGTTGATGTAGTGTGCTACTTATAAATCTGCTTAATTCTGTATTTTGTTATTGCAATTGTTTATACCATGTATTTTTATTATTATTTATTATTTTTATTATTCTTTACTGGGAACTACGCCATACAAGTTTTTATAAACTTTTTTGTAGTTTCCGTTTTTTCTTTTACTATGTATATTTGTATTTTTTGTATATATTATAATATTGTTTTTATGCTTGAGAAAAATTAATAAACTGAACCGAACCGAACTGAACCGAACTGAAACTTCCAATAGATTAATATAAAATTGTGGCAACGTTATCTTCAACAGTCCAAGAATATAGTCACATGAAAATATGAACTTTCGTCCTAAGTGTTTTAAAATACTGCTTCGATTTCATTTCATTATATTCTGTAAATTGTTTAACCCTCATAACCCTCTGTGCTTTAATCAACAATTCAAAATTCGTCTTACAGACCTCCAAACTGATAATCTAAATACAAGGTATTTTTTGTTAATTTGATTTCTCCCGACCCCAAAAAAATCGAAAGTTAACTTATCTAAATCCTCATAATACCCATCCTGAGACCGGTGTGATGGATGCCACATAAATGGATTTAGAATATACAAACAACTTTAATAAATGTATCTAACCATCGTTGTTAAGTCTTTCTGCTTTCTCTCACTAATTCAAAATGTCTTTATTTTACTTAGTGTTTCTTTATAATTTACATTTTATTTTACTTCTACATTTGAGGAAAAAACTATCCCCTAGAATCTTGACAAAATCTATTTTTTTGACCAAAGGATATATAATATAACTTTTCTTGAAGGGCGCCTAACAACAGTACTTTTGTTTTATCTTTGTTTACACGGAGTCCGCATAGTTTTCTGAAGTTCTTTAACAGTTTTATTACTGTTGTTATGGGGTCATAATATCTGCATATATAACCTGCTTCACGTTCACCTCTCCAAAAAGTATTCCTTTGACACCCTTATTATATCGTTTATGTGCCAGTATTTATAATAAGATAAACAGATTTGGAGATAGAGAATTCCCTGTCTTACACCCCTTTCCATATTAAAATAGCCGGTCAACTTTCCTCCATTAAAGATTCAACTTTGTGTTGTTTTAGTTTACTTTATTTTAGTTAAGAAAGTTTTGTTTGTGATAGTAATATGTAGAGCGCCATGAACGTCAGAGCCTGGCGGATCCCGGCGCTATATAAATATCCATATTATTATTATTATTATTAATTTTGTATACAGTATTTTCACCCATCTACGAAATTGCTGACCAAATCTAAAAGAACATAATGTCTTGTATAGAAAGCTACGCGACACCGAGTCAAAGGCTTCCTCAAAGTCAAGAGCTATCAAACCATTGCATGTTATTATGAGACTTAAATGAAAAACAACTTAGTCAATTATTCTAATCGCTTCTCCTATATTTCTTCCCTCCATAAACCCTATTAGATCTATCAGAACAATATCTTCCAAGACCTCTTTTATTCTTGTGGCCATTATTTTAGAAACAATTTGTAGTCGATATTTGATAAGGATATTGGCTTAAATTTGGTACTAAATGTGGATCTTTCCCTTCTTTAGCTATTAAGATAACAATGGGCTGTTTCTGTGATGCCGATAGCTCTTCCGAGACACAGGCTTCATTGAAGGCAGCTAATAATAAATCTTTTATGTCGGACCAAAATGCGTTGTAAATTTTTACTATTAGCCAGTCATTCCCTGGTGATTTATTTTGTTTCATTTCTTTCAGAGCCGCAAAACAATCGCCTTCAGTAATCTCTCCTTCACAATTTTCAATACTTTCCCTTGTCAATATTGATAGATCTTCAAAAAGTCCCGGCTATGAGATGAAGTTGTTTGGTATAAAGCGTTTTCATTTGGTTAATGCTACGGTCACAAAGGTTCGTCCGAACGACAATTTCGTACGAATCTCCCTGTTTTTCATTGTCTTCCCGAATTTGCATTGTCTGAAAATCGTTCGTACGGCGTTCGTAGCAGTTCGTCATGGCATTTGTGACCGATGCTAAAGTTACGGTCACAAAGGTTCGTACGAACGATGAGTTCGTACAAATCTCCCTGTTTTCCATGGTTTTCCTCAATTTCCATGGTTTTAAAATCGTTCGTACGGCGTTCGTAATGGCATTTGTGACCGAGGCTTTAGAAATATCTTTCTCCTTATAAATAATTTCTCCTCCCTCATTGACTAATCTCTTAATGATGCTTTTTCTTTTATTTGCATGCAACAGCTGACTAAAATATTTTGTGACTCTTTCCCCACTTTTGTAATATGATGCCCGGGATCGAATTTGTATGCCTTAATAAATATAATCATGACTGTCTGCAAGTTTTTTTCTTTTTTCTTTCTTTTTTAATGCCTTAACCTCTTTTTCAGTTAATCCTTCAAGTTGAATAATATTATGTTCTAGATTTTCAATTTCCCTTTTCTCTCTTCGATCTATGGCTTATCTCTTTGAAAAGGCTTTTGTAAAGCTCCTATTTTTTATTTTAATTTTAATTTTCATATAGTCCCAGAGTACTCTCCTATCTTTGATTTCTAACTTCAGTTCCTATAAAGAAATTAAGAAACATGTTCAACATAGTCATCCAGGGGCGGGGGAGCTAGGGCGTGAAATGTACCACATTGCGCATGGGTCCGTGGCCCATTTAATGGCCTCGGAAATTTTAAACCTTAATAAAGATGCTCTTTGGTACATTCTGAGGCATTTCTGCATGAGTAAACTGGACATTTTTTTTTGGGGGGGGGCGTGCGTCCCTGTGCTATCATATAATTAGAATCTTTCCTCTACACGTTGAAGTTTTTTGTACTGCGTACATATATGAAGAGCGAGATGTATATAGCTAGCTATTATTAGCCCTTTCTTTATTTTTAGACATCTATAATGAAATATGGCTAAAAAAATAATGTTATGTGTAAATCGATTGTATACCAATCATGTATAGGATGTGTTAAGAACTACAATGATTTGCCAACTTGAAATTTTACTAGAGAAATGTTAATTCGCTCGTACAAGATCTGACCAAAAACATCTGTATTTTGTATAACTTTTCATAGGCACTGGTAGTGCCTTAAAAGGACGCCACTTGTAGCAGTCCACTATGTCGACGTGCAAATCTTAAAGTCCCTAATATTGTTGTAAGGGAGCAGCTAGTATGGTAGGTCCATGCTAGCATCCATCTTTGTTATGATCCACTTTTGTTGTAAGGGAGCAGCTAGTAGTAGGTCCATGCTAGCATCCAGCTTTGTTATGATCCACTTAACTACTACAGCTCAAGTTCAACCAACTCCACGGCCCATCAAACCAGTCAAGTGCATTACGTAACACACCCAATGGTACACTATCTCAAGACCATGCATAGACAATGGCTTTATCCCTCTCTGACCCATACCAGACAGTTTCTCTGAAAACTTCATACAAGAAAGGATTAAGAAGGTAAACTCATTTGCATAAGAACTTGAAAGTGTCTGTTTTTCATTGGTCAACATTGACCGTAAAGGGTGCGAGGGTTCTCACGCTTGACCGACTATCTGATGGTAGGTCCCATCGTTTCGAATAGCCTAGCTCTGCCATAGTGCTGGTGATGAACTTGAAATTCCAAGGATAGACAGGCAGAAAACAGACTATATGTAGAATATCTACATCCATACCGATTAATTGCATTCCTACAAGGGTAAGTCCATTCATATTTCAATATTTGTAATACTCGTGTTCAGTAAACAGAAAATGAGTTGTCAAAAAAGCACTTTGTGATTCTTGTGTTCTTGGAGTTGGAAGAGAGAGAGAGAATAGGCCTAATTTAACTGTCTGGAGCTTGTCTGGTTATTGGGTGTACTCGGTCCGGGTGCATATGCAGCGTATGCACGGTGGTCCTATAGCTAGTATATTATATTATGTAACGCATGTATCGTAGACCTACTTCTTATTTCATATTATGATATCAACTTAATTAAAAGACGATGAAGTTTTCAGTTTTTATCTAGCACGGAGGTCATAATAAAGGGCATTCGACGTAGAGATGTATCGATGACGGGTAAAATATTATAAATATTTTAAAGCAATCCTTTGTCTTTTTTACACTTTCTTGAAAACTGCCCAAAACAGTTCTAGGTCGTATTTTGATTTGATTTATTTATTTACCAACAGCAATCAAGTGCAACAAATTATATAAAATTCTTATTTACATATAGTATACAAGAAGCAAATATAATATATAATCATAGTTTTAGGTTATAATCAATGGAAATGTTGTGTATGATTATGTAGCAATTATTGTTGTTTCAGTATAACAACAATATTTTTGTTATTAAAGTTTATTGATTAATTTGTGTGCACTTGTACCGTCGTACCACATAAAACAAATTACGTATTCAACTTACGATCCAGAAATAACAGAGGACATGCCTATGTACTCAATTAACCAATATTGATTATATACAAATTGCGAATGCTACTTTTGACGATTATAATATGGATATTGAGTGACTCATTTATGTTTTCAACCTCTTCATCAGAAATGTAACATCTTTTGATTGTTTATTTTTAATTATTCAATAATATTTGGTCATCTTTTTTCCCCATTGTTATACATGTATTGGTTATCATCTTCATTGGACAACAATTGCTCCGAGTCAATTTTTTACAAATACATATTATATTCACCAATCACCCACCCTCGAACCCGGTGATGATTTCACTACACCTAGAGCATTGACCAAATTAAGCTAGAATCAAAGCCTGTACTAGCTAGACCTACATTCTGACGTTCTATATAGGATTTTCCGGCCAAATTCGCGAGTTTTTCATTAAAATTAATTTGTCTTGCGTTCAAATTCGTCGGTTTGAGTGCTGTCAGGTATATACTGGGTTTATATTCCTTTTTCTAGTTTTCAAATCTATGAAGTTTTCGTTAGAATCTATGTATGTTTCATTCAAATTAATGAATAACGTGCTTCTTTCGCTATTTGGTCATTCGATTTGGCGCAACACGATTTCTGACATCGCGAATGTGTACTTCTAGCGTTCTAATTCATTTGTAGCATTCAAATTAGCACTTTGTGCACTTAAATTGATGGTCAATATACATTTCTCGTTTATTACACACTTTTTATAGCTCATTCTTTTTCTTTCAAGAATGTTTTTTTCATGTGTATTTCATCATATTTTATTTTCTTACATTAATACAATTATACTTAGGCCATTAAAATTGTTTACATGTTTAGCGTTCCCACCCGCTTCCTTTTCGGGGGCCGCCTCCTATTTTTTTTTTTTTTTAGAAATTTTTTATTTTATATTTTTTTTGGAAATTTTTTTTTTTTCAAGAAAAAAAAAACGCAAAAAACACTGCTAAAATGAATCTATTTCTGATTCAAAAAAAAAAAAAAAATGTCGGCGGCCATCTTGAAAAATAGCCCGACTGTCAGGGAAAATGTACCGAGCGGCCATTTTGAGCGGCCATTTTGAAAGAAAAAAAAAAGAAGAAAAAAGGGCCTCCTCCTTCCTATTTTTCGAAAAATCAGGACGCTTAACATGTGTTTTTTTTTTTTTTGGCCTTATTAGATTTATCTGATATTCATCATCCTTTAAGTTTAATTGTTATGAAGAAAAAAAAAACGACTTGCATTTACGGACTTGATGTTTTCAATATGTTTGTAAATTTACTTAAATTATATATTTATTTCATTGTCGTTAAATTTAAGTATATCGATGGTGGCTAGCTGAAAACAGTATGGCGGAGCTACATGTACCATATCGACATGATGATACTATGGGCTCTCCAATCACCATGGAGATACAAAGATCAGGTGGTCTCAAGAGGTCACGTGATGAGCTGATGGGATCCGGAGGAAAAGGTAAAACTCCAGAAGTCAAACCGCCTGAACGGATGATTAAATCTTCATACTAAAAATGCAGTTATAGATTACACTGCTAAACGAATGTGCTTATACGATAGTTGCCCTAAAAAAGCAGACAAATCAAAGAAGCCGACTGGTGAAAGTTTGAAAAAAAATCAGACAAAGATTAAGAAAGTTATGAGTTTTTGAAACTCAAATTGACTAAATTGTGACGAAGTGTCGGATTACTTTCGATTTGTTTCAACACAAAATTAATTTTAAAAATTCAATTGATAAAAATGTATGATTCAAGAGGGTCCTTCCTTTTTAGAGGACTTAAAGAAATATGCTATCCATAATATATTTTCAATAGTGCCCCAAGGGAGAAAAAGATGAATTAATGATATGTTTGTACACGTCATACGGGAGAGTTGTCCCGGCCATGACTACATGTGTATGTCAAAATCCACTGACCAAAATGAATATTTGAGATTCACATTAGAGATATCATATTTCAAACATTCATAACTCCCTTATTATTGGCTTTATTTATGTCACAGTTGGATAGCCCTTTAAGAGCAGAGTGTAATAGCAAATAAGAGATTAGTTGAGCTCGGATAGCTTATAAAATGTAGTTTACTAAGACCGCTAATGATATTCCTACAATCCTTAGTGATAATAAACATAATATTGTGACTTAAAAGAATCGTAATTGTTGACAATTTAAATCTACTGGCAAACATTGGTCAAAAGAAGGTCCAATTGTGATAAGTCCAATGTCGGGCGGATCCAGGATTTTCAAATGGGGGTGGGGGGGGGGGCATGAAATGTACGAAATTGCGAGCGCGAAGCCTTTACGGTGTGGGGTCCGTCCCGCTTAAAGGCCCCGGAAAATGTTGAACCTTAAAGGTAATACAAAGTTTTGGGAAATTGTGAAAATTGGCTCGATAGTGATTCTTTACACTTTCGATATATTTGGATGCCCCTGTGGATGTTTTATAAGCACTAGAAAATTTAGCCCCTAAAAACACTTTTGCTTTCGAGAAAAATTGAATATTAAAATATACCGGTGCTCCCGGTAAATTTTGATAAATTTCAAAAAGCGCCTACGGCCATACAATGATAGCTGCGACCATGAAAAAATCAAAATATGTAGTTATATATAATTTCCAAACGGAAATAGCCAATTGGTCAATTTTAGTCAAGAAACATAGCTTGTTTTATAGCTAAATTGATATATTGACCTTGAGAGGGAGCTATAACATAAACAGTTTATTATTTATAATTTCATCACTTTAGACTCGATTTAAACCGTGACATTAATCGCTGAATATTGTAGGATGGCATATGCTTCCAATATGTTCATTTGAACCAGATTCATGACCCCATACCAAAACTTTGTATTACCTTTAAAAGCTCAATGGTACATTCTGAGGCATCTCTGAATGCGTAAACTAAACATGTGTGTGAACATTACTACATGTATTTCGGAAGGAAAAACAAGGGGGGGGGGGGCTTGACCATTCATGCTATTTTTAAACAGCAATAGTTATAATAATTATCATGATAGTATGGTAGTAGTAGTAGTAGTAGTAGTAGTAGAAGAAGTAGTAGTAGTAGTAGTAGCAGTGTTATCATTATTTTTGCTCTTATGAATGTTGTTGGTGTTGTTATTGCTATTATTGCTTTTGTTGTTGTTGATGTTGTTGTATATCTTACTTCCTCTTCATCACTCTCTCTCTCCCTCTCTCTCCCTCTCTCTCTCTCTCTCTCTTTCTCTCTCTCTCTCCCTCTCTCTCTCTCTCTCTCTCTCTTTCTCTCTCTCTCTCTCTCTCTCTCTCTCTCCCTCTCTCTCTCTCTCTCTCTCTTTCTCTCTGACTCTCTACAGAACGACGAACACGCACTATCTTCAACTTGGCTCAGATAAACGCACTGGAGCGCATCTTCTTGGATGTTGAGTACCCGGATGGTTATTTGAAAGCCAAGTTAGCAAACCGTCTCGAGGTTGATGAGAACACTGTTCAGGTAAGCTGAAACAACTTTGACCTCATACTCACACTCATAATCAAAATAAGATATTGAAACGCGCATAATCACTAAAAATAGGTTCAGGGCATTGAGAATTAAAAGATAGTGCGCCAGTATAGGTAACATACTATATTTACCATTTACCAAAAACTGAAGAGGGTTGAATTGTTCGTAAATTTTATGTGTTAGGATATACATGAAGAATTACTCAAGTTAAAAAGTATGGTTTATTGGGTGATCGGTGTGTTGAAAGAAAGCTTTGCATCCCTAGACTGTTATTTTATGTGTGCGTAGTCACTGCGTACCGCCCTGATAAGGTTATGCCTAATTAGGATTTCCTTAGGTCTTTATTAGTTATCTTGATAGTTTGTATGAAATAGCTTGGATGGACTTTTGTAACCCATGATTTATGGGCAACATACATTTTTTTTAAAACACCACTCGATGAGTTTTTCCCTCTCTAATATTATTGTAAGATTATTACTCATTCTCAGTTTGTCATGTACACATCATTCGTTCTACAACATATTCAACGTTCCTTTCATGTCTTTCACAGATTTGGTTTCAGAACCGGAGGGCGAAAAAGAAGCGACTACAAAGAGGACTCCCCGTGCCCGACATGCAAGAGCCATTTCACCCTCATCAAAGTGTTTCCCATCCGGGTTATCTTCTACCCGATTCTGATCGACAAAACTATCTACTGAACATTGCAGATCAGGGACAAGTTCACTTCCCGTCGGTCCCTAGAGAGAACCAGTGTTATCCTACTAATAGCATGATAGTGGGGAATCCAGATCTTGAGACTCAATGGGCGGGAAAGGCGCACTTGAATAGCAGAGAACATTATGCTGTGGACCCTACCAGGTAGAGTGATGTCCCATTCATATTAGATCTATTTAAAATCCAATGCTTTCTATAACCAGTCGGTAACAAAGTAAGGCGAGAAGATTGATCGATGAAAGCAAAACATTTCTCATAATTTCGTCAGAAGTTACTTCTAAAATATATGACTGTAATACAAGAATTGAAAATAATTGGCCCATCTTTTATCATTGTATTCAATCTCAAAATAAATGACGTCACGTTTCAGATAATTCACTTTGTAATGTATTCCACCTCCCCTTCCCTCCCCCCCCCCTTTTTTTTTTATTATTGTTGTTTAGGTTTTCTCTGCTTTTCTTTTCTCAACAATACAGTGTATATTTTGTTAAGGGGTTGACGTTCATAAGGCTAATTTCCCTTTTTGTTACCCCCAAATTCCCATAAAATATTGTTTGCTCCTTCCCTTTGTATTTTTCTTGTTATCGATCTTTATCTGTATCATGTTAGTATGTTTTAATGTTTTTATGGAGAATGAAATAAATGAAATGAAACGAAAAATAAGCGATGAAAGTTTTACCTTATCGCAAATTAAGTTGCGATTGAATCAAAGAAACAGACACTGCGGTTAATCATACTATAATGTAGTATTCAGTAATATAGAAATTCAGCTTTGCTTTTGTCAAGATAATCAATTTCAATGTCTTGCATTAAAGTATATATCAACGATGTCAAAAGATTTGTGATTAGTGATTAATTTTCCAGTAATTTTTTCCTTTATCTATTCCACAGAATCCCGTCTCCTCAAACGCACAACTCACAAATCGCTTTCACCAAAGAGAAAGGTTCTGCAGGAGACCTCACCAGGGCTTCGTCTAGTATAACAACAGCCCTTAGTCCTGCCAGATCAATCGACTCACCTACCGTCTCTGAAGGAGGAGGAGTCATTGACCAAATTAGAAAGTGGCCCGTGAAAGAACCTGCAACATCACAGAGTCCGTTTGGAAAAGTAGACTTTCCAAAGCTTCCACGTGTGTGCATCAGACATGATACAGGTCAAAATTTAATGAGAAATGTATCAAATTTTGTTTTTGGTGCGCCATCGCCAGTCTCTACAGGAGGTCAGAGAGACATTGTGAAGATGCGTATGAACGTATTGAAGAAGGATCCCCCCAAATCGCCACCTCCAAACCAGACCTGCGCTGCTATTCCCCGCTCACAACGGAACGAACTCGAGTTAGCTCTCATGAAACATGGCTTGGTAGAAGAAACAACGAGTGAAAATGAACCCCCTATATCCAATTCTTGTCATCGTGCAGGGTATATATCCGATGACTTGTCGTCTAGCTCTGAAGAATCGTCTGACTCGGAAGGATTAGCGCCCCCTCGCCGGAAAAGAAAAGTACTTCGTAATAGGCAGAAACCACCACCAAATACAAGCTGTGCCTCCGTTCCTCTTCACGATCGTACGCTTCCTTACCTAAGCAAGATACCTCAGTACAGTTCTGAAAAGGTCACTACGAGTCAAAGGGTTGAAACACCAGCTAATATCTTAATGCCACTGCAATCATTCGAGCAACCAATCGGCAACAACAATATCTCAGATTGGGATACTGATAGTGACGATTCGTCGTGGGCCTACTTTGACCAAGGACCAAAGAAAGAAGCAGCTGAAACCAAAGACAGTCCGAAAGCACTTCTTGATCTAAAAGCTAGTCAATGTGGACCTCAGAGTGCACCACCAGCCCTTGTACCAGAAGGGGGTGATGACGTCAATTCCTTAACTACTGAAAAGGACAATGGATATGCGGGTAATGTGGCCTATTGTACTGATGATGAGTTTTCAGAGATCACACTAGCCCGAGAATTTGCAGAAATGTTGCCATCCCCTCTAGGGACTTACTTGCCCATCTACCACGAGGATCCCTCATCAAGCAGTCAAGGATATGACTCATACAGACGCCCTCGTATTCTCAGCGACTCAGCTCTAATGACACCACGTCATACTGATAGCCGGCCACAACCAACAGTAGAACTCAGGAACTGCCCCGTTTCCACTCAATCTTCAGACTCCTCTCTCAGCGGACTTTCATCTCTCTTCAATTCAGTCTCTCCAAGTGAGTTGGTGAAGCACCTGTCAGATGGTGTTGTTGAGATAGACCAGAGCACAGCCTTGGACCTTCCAGCTATTTCCCACATACCGGAGTCGAGAAGGCTACACCCGGAAGGATTGATTGAAGGCGTTCGACAACAAGGTATCCAGCAGAACTACCAACAGCCATTCCCGGCTAATAATAATCGTGGTGCATATGGAGAGCAAATTAAGACTGGAACTGCCTTCATAAATGACTCTCTCGGTAATTGTCGTGAAGCAAAGATTGACATCGGACACGGTAGAATCAACGCATCGGTTCAAAGTATCATAAGACCAATTCCGACCCGTCCACTTCAAGCAACTTCATCACCACCCAGTCAGTCGATGATACATGCACCCTTATCATCTACCCATGTGAACAACACATTGCCATTTCCAGACTGTTCATCAAATCTAGTTGAAACTCGTCACCAGAGCGCTACCTATGGTCAACATCAGGTGCAAGGAGATCCTAACCACAATTATTCCGATCCAGGATTCCAGGAGACCATCCAATCGAATACCTTACATCCTGGAGCGTATGTTCAACCTCAAAGCGTGGTCCATCACCAGCCATCATCCATGTTTACCTCGCATCATCCATCACGATTTCCAGGTAATGCTTATGAAGCAGGTTTTCCTGGACATCACACAACTGCCCCTCCTAGGAATGTATCTCTCCCTATGGCACCTTCTCACCAGGCTGTGGTAGGTGTGTCTTCTCCATCTGCTGATAACTTACCTCCGAACCAAGTCTGTACAGCGGTACCTGATGCTGTGTCATCACAAGGACTCATGGCACGTTACCTTGCATGGACACAGGGCAGAACTCTACATGTAGAATAATAATGTTGGATCAGGCGTCGTCGACACAGGGCAGAACTCTACATGTAGAATAATAATGTTGGATCATGCGTCGTCGTAAAATATCATCGATAATAATTTCTCGTAATTACTGTTAAATAAATTTTGTTAATGTTCTGTAAAGGCCCTTTTACACGTTTAAACAAGAATGAGTAAATCATCAGGATCGAGCCGTCCCGAAATAAAAAGGGGCACTTATCTGAATTAAAAGGGGGCACTTTAGTGGTTCTTTAAAAAGTGTGGGGGTTCTGACGGTGATACTTTGTACATGTAGTGGCCACCATAAGACAATTCGTCGCTGTTTTCACGAAGTGACGGTAGTGAAAAAAATTGCATTCACTTTGCGTGACGATTTTCCTCACTACCGTCACTTCGTGAAAACAAGGACGAATTCGTTCCACAAAAATTATTAGTAATGGACACTTTCAGTGTTATACACCAGTTTTGGCGTGAAACATTCAACCAACAATATAACCTTGGTATCACAATTCAGTATTATATTTAAAGGTGTGCTATTATAATGATTATGCATCTCTACCTCAAATATTCTATATCATAGGTCATGTAAATAGAATTGTTTCGTACTTGTAATATTAGTAGTACTAGTTGGTCTTCTTTGGAGAAACTGACGGACGTATCTATGATTATGATATAGTATATAGTTATAATTAAAATGTTTTCAGAGGTCTAAAATATATGTTTTGTGAGTGTCATTTATAATTGTTATGTTTGATGATAACTTGTCCCGTGCGGGTGTCATATGTTCTTGGCAAAATTTTATTTCTGGAAAGATGTTGATTTACCGAAAATTGTGAGTTTTGTGCTTTCATGAGGTAGGGTGTGAGCCCAAAATGTTCCAAAAATCTCCAGTAAAGGTGTACTTTTCACGTAACAAAGTCCGGCTCGTAATACACAAAAACGGCCCGTATTGACTTTACACACCGGACTTAGGGGGTGCTTTCAAAGGGAGAGAAGATGTATACGCGCAGGGGCGTCGCTAAAGGTGGGGAGGGGGGTGGGGGTGGGTGCGACACACCCCACCTGGCATCGGTAAAATTGCGCTGCTGTCTGGAAACATGAGAAAAAAGGGAGAGGAAAATGAGAAGGAAAGAGAAAGAAATTAAAAAAGAAAAGAAAGGAAGGAAAGGAAAGAGAAGAAAAAAGGGGAAGGAGAGGAAAGAAAGGAAAAGAAATAAAAGGAGAAAAGGAAAAAAGAAACGGGGGATGAAAGAGAGAAGAGTGAGAGTGGGGTAAGAGTCTGGGAAAAGAGGGATGGGAGAAAGAGAGAGAGAGAGAGAGATGTTGGGTGGAGTCGCCACGTCGAGGGAGCAAGAAAGATACGCATAGATAATTATGTAGCTGTGTCAGGTCCGCTGTGTCGGTATTCTTGCTCGATTCTCATGTATTATATTATCAATGCGGAGGTTTGAAGTATTAAGCCGGTCGGCCGGCATCCCCTACGAACTGTGACTTTTTATCGGACAAAGAAACATTTTTTTAAATTCAGACAATGATTAAGATTCGGTACAACGAATCGTCTTCTTTCTCAATTTATTGTATGAAACGTCGAAGCTTCCGCGCTTCGGGCGGGTGGGGAAAACTCAATTCAGACAAGAGTCGAAAACATTACAACGAATCGTCTTCTCTCTCTAATAATTTAATGAAACGTGAAAGCTCCTGGCTCCGGGTTTATAGGGTTAAATTTGGAGACATTGGGAAATTGGATTTAATATATTTGTAATTGGTGGCTAGTTTTGTCGGTAATCGGTGGCCTCTACACCCCCCCCCCCCCCACTGAAAAAGGTATAGCGACGTCCCTGCACCGTAAATAACACTGAGTGTGTGAGGTATCCGTGTGATACAGCAGGGATGTCGCTCAGAATCTTTGAATTGAGGAGGGGGCTGTGTCGAATAAAATCTGCCGACAAGTTTGTGAATATTGTTCAAGAAAGATTTTTGTTTATAAATGGACGAACAATTTATAAACTGCCAACAGTGGCACAAGGGTCCTTAAATTTACATGTTTCTACATCATTTATTGACTTGTCAACAGAACCCCCCCCCCCCCTCCCCCACGCTCTAGCGACACCCCTGGATTTGTTATCTCCGAACTTTCACAGAGAAATCTAGGTTTGAAGGGTTTCATTGGAACAAATCATTTCGTAGAATTCATGAGGCATGTTTAGTTTAGTTTAGCTTCAATAACGAGTGAGATTATTGAGCGATTTTTGTGCCTTTCTTTTAAAATATCTGTTGTTTCAATCTTGCATGGTATTATATAAAACACGTCCCGGAATAGAGACGTACGCAATTTGTTTTAATTGAGAAAATATGGTTTCATTATCACCACCAATGTTAAAGACATGAAATAGATGCTAGGAATCACGACGGATTATTTTTGTTCATCGACAAAAAAAAAAAAAAAAAAAAATGAAATGTACACTTTCCAAATTATATCATCTATTTCTACACATGAGCATGAGGCCTAAAATCTTATTGAAAAATGATTCAAAATTGTCCAACGATTTATGCTGTGTTATGCTGCACCCACTTTACATGCAAATAAACAAATATCACAGACTGCTAACATATGAACCAACATGATTATCCGGTTTGGTATACATCATAATATCACATTATAACATAACGTCCATGTGGCCTTTAAACTAGTTAGGAATTTAAAAGTTTAGCTTCAGCTGAGGGCGCCTATCCACAATCATCCTTTTATTCAAGTGGATTAATTTGGTTATCCTAAGAAATTCCCCAAATTCAAAGCTGGTGTATTAGGCCTATCGATTTGAACTCATTAGAGAGCTGACGCAATAAGAAACGAAGGCAGATTTGCATATGCATATAGTGAAACTCTTTTGGCGCGAAACATTGACATTCCTTGAACCTGTGCAGACTATCAAAGCTATCAAAGCTTGTGTACATTTTCAACTGCTGATAATTGATACAAAGATACTTACAGTTTCAATCATACATAGCGAAAAATACTACCGCGGGCAAATAAAAAGCAAGAGAGATTTGTTTGTCAAACAAAGGTAACGCCTTATTAAAACAGACGGGATGAGGGATAATCGAGGCATTTGCATCAGATATCAAAAGTATGTATTCTTAATGCCTATGATGATCATTTGACCGGGATTAAGTGGATCACCGAAACATGCCCTCTCTTTTAATCTATGCAGGATACATCTCCCTCATTCATGTGAATGTCAAAAGACGACACAGGTGTTTTAAATAGCTCATGACAATAAGCGCATCGTTACTGGAACATACACTCAAATAACTCCCTCTATTCAAAGCTACGTGGTCGACTATGTGTATGCTAAAATTAGTCAAGCATTAAAGGCTATTGGCAAGTGTTTCAGAAGGGCCTACATGCGTTAAACGTGATAGACGATACTTGCAGCTGAGACGGTAGGGTATACAACACACTACTGGCATCATGGCGTCAACCCCTGAAAATGCGAAGTCAACCCCTGAAACTACAAAGCCACCCCCTGAAACTCCGAATTCACCCCCTGCAACTTCAAAACCACCCCCTGAAACTCAGAATTCACCCCCTGTAACTCCAAAGTCACCCACTGCAACTCCAAAGTCACCCACTGCAACTCCAAAGTCACCCACTGCAACTCCAAAGTCACCCCCTGCAACTCCGAAGTCACCCCGCTCTAGAATGGAGGCAACGAAGACCGACACCCATGGTCGCTTGTACCGCATCAAGAAAACATGCGCACGTGTTCGACTCCTCGATCTCGACAACGAAGAAGCTCGGGTCGACATCGCTATCTTGCGTCGGATCTTAGGAATAGGCGTCAACGATCTCAGGGATGTACTTCGTCGCAGCGCCCATGTCCACGTTGACTTGATGCCGATGAAGGATGCTCCTCGTATATTCCAGCGAAGCAGTGCCCCATGGAACGTCGTCAACATCCGACTCGCCAACGGTGAACCAGTCGATAAAGCAGCAACCATCTTCGCCAATCCAGCCGCTTACTTCATGGGGAAACGAAACATGCAGATACCATTCAAACGGTCAAGGCCTTGCATCAGACCAGAGATGACCGGCATGGCAGTAGAGGCGATCTGGAGTATCTTCGCCGAGATGGATGTCGATCACATTGAAGTCAAGGTCATGCTGGAGAAACTAAAGGGTCGATTCAGCAAGAGTGAGCTACCAGTCATACATGGAGAGAGCAACTCTCTTCCTCAGAGATTCCGACGCTGGTTTATGACCATCCCGCTCTACTTCACGCTTAGATGGGGCAAGGTGAATTATAGCTTTTAGATTTTCTTTTAATTTCCATTTCACAAATTAACCCTTTGCTAACGGGAACCTGGTGGTCCCCATGCTAAGCCTATGGGACCTATACAATTCAGAAGTCATCGGATTAAGCAATGAATTAACATTTGTTTGCAATTAAGTTTTGTTATGCTTTGATTGATATCGCAAGATCAGCTCACTAAAATGAATGTTGATTATAACATTTAAAAAATATATTTATAAGACTGACGGTATGTAAATACATATATTGAGACAAGCGAGACCGATAGGCCGTTTTTATTATTGTCAACATGGATGGAAATTATATTTCTATTCCATATTCCCTTTAAGAACGTTGTCTACACTAATCAAAGTTCATGGCCCGAATTCACAAAGGAGGTTTGTAGACAAACCTAGGTTTCTGCACACATAGCTGCATTACTATCCTGGCTGTGTATTAGAGCTGTGCTTTTTATTCTCAACATTTCAAACACCACTGTACAAAACTGAATTCACTAAAAATCGGTACTTTAGTAAATATCAGTAAAATTAAAAAAAAAATCAACTTACAGATGTTTAATACTTTAAAAATTCAAATTGTAAGTCTATTGTCAAACTTGCCGATCAGCCACATCGTCTTCATTGTGTGCATTTGTGTGCAATAAGTGAATTGACTATTCATGTAATTGCTGCTTCTTAGCACGTAGTGCAGCGCTAAAGGTCGATACGCATTAAGCATTGACTCTCTTTGCTTTGCTGGAGTGGGTTTATGTGCGTCATATGACGCGTTTCGATGCGTTTCAGGCCAAGGTTCAGACAAACCTTGGTTTGAAACGCGTCAAAACGCGTCATAAGACGCAGATACACCTAGGTTTGTCTGCAAACCTACTTTGTGAATTCTGGCCCTTAAGTTTGGAAGTACGAATATCTCAAAGATATCCCACGAACTGTATACAAAATAAATCGTGTCAAACTTTCCATTCCCATTAAAAATATCTCTCTTGTTTTAAAGGAGGAAGGAGCGACCATGATATCTCTTCATCCAGGATTCGTCGAAGCCGACATTCAAAAGGAAATTCGACGTCGTGCCCTTGTTCTCTTCAAGCGACGCAGCAGAAGACGTAATCGTAGCCGTAGTCGTAGTGTGGGAAGTGAGCACAGTGATGGCGACATCTCCGTCGTCGAAGAAGAAGTGCCGATCCCAGTTAGTAGCGGTCGAGTTCCAGTCATCAATGAGTCGGCTAAATGCTCCGTTGTGGTCGACACCCTGTTCAAGGATGCTGCTAAAGCCGGCATGCTCGTCATCAGCTTCGATTGCAAGGGACCAGTTCTAGGTACAGTAGACCGATTTATTAACATATTCAAAAGTATGGAGGTTTCTTTCCTGTGGACGTAGTGACGAGTTATTCCATTAAGCTTTTAAGAATGAATGAACTATAAATCTAGTCTGCATACATTACTTGTTGATATGTCAGGCTAGCATCGGGCAAACTTTCAGGTTGTCAAGAAAAATCTTTGTTTCAAAGTATGCATAAAATTTGAATATGTCAGTAAACCGGTCTATTTAACTTCTTTACGAATACTAATTGAAGTCTCTTTTTCCCCTCTTTCCCTCTTTCTCTCTAGTCTTTATCTTTAGTATTTGTTTTTTTCCTGTCTATCTTTCTCTTTCTTTCTATCTCAAGCTCCACGCCCGTATAATCGCAATAACAATGCGGCAAATATTACGATGCAAACTATTGTATTTGTATGATGTATTCTTTTCTTTAAGTATAAAGTCGTAATCTTTGAAAATAGGACACATTTGGTATCCGAAAATTCAGTGAAATCTGTGACTAAAAATTTCAAAAAATCTCTAATAAGAACAGCTCTGTTACTTTCTTCATCAACCAAGTAAGAGCCATATATCATAGTCAAGTTTAGGCTAGTTTCTTCCAATGACTGACCCGCAGTCCGCCTTTGCACGTTCATGATGATGTCATTATGTTGTATTTCAGAAGATGATAAGATGGAGGTAGCCCTTGTCCAGCTGTCTACCATCGATGGTGAAGTGTGGATATTTGACGTCACTGAGAAAGAGGGAAAGACGTCTTTAATGAAAGAAGGGCGTCTCAAAGAACTACTGGAAGCAGAATGCGTCATGAAAGTAAGACAACAACAGCTTTCTCTCTCTCTCTCTCTCTCTCTCCCCCTCTCTCTCTCTATTCCCCCTCTCCCTCTCTTCCAAATAGTCCTCATCCTTACTGGCTTGGCTTCCTGACGTAGATGCAGTATTCATTAACTTTCAAAAAGAGTAATAGTAAGAAAGCCAAAATATCACAAAAACATTGATCCAAAGCCATTGTATTTAAAGATACGAAGATGAATTTCTCGACATGATATGAAATATGATATATTTGACAAAGTAATTATGGTCTTTAAATGCCTCTTTCCTAGACCCTGTACACCATTGTGTGTCAATGCATGATGATTGTAATCCTGTTAATTCATAATTGTTATTTGTTTGAAATCTATTTTAAGGTGATGCATGATTGCCTGAACACCGCCACCAACCTCTTCCGTCAGTTTGAAGTCAAGATGTGTAACGTTTTCGATACAACTGTAAGCACTTAAAAATAACTTCATTTACTTGTAATACTAAATTAAACATTTCAGCTTTCCCAAGAAACAAAACAAATTCAGAGACTTCGTATCCCAAACTTAGGAGCATTGCCAGAGGGTCATGGGTATGTCTGGAAATCTCAAATTTGTTTAACTTGTTTCGGAAAGTATATGACGTATGTGGATCGATTCATTTTTTGTCGTCAGAAGATTTAAAATTTGTGATTCCACTATAATAGCTGCGAAATCTGATCTCTGTATACATGTATATGTGCTTACTAGAAAAAAACTGAGACCATATTTCCCTACCACGATGCATTTCAAGAATAATCGCTAAAGATATTTTATTTCTCATTATGCACGCTATCGTTCTTTTGTTTCAGTTGGCCTACGAGACCCTATTGAACCAGTGTAACATCTTTCCAGTAGAGCATGAAGTGACACGACATCGCATCGAACTGAGCTCTCTATGCGAAATGGTAGGGGAGACATATAAAGGCGAAGATGATAAGATGTCTGAGGTCCTTAAGAACAACCCTCATATGTGGGATGATCGTCCTCTCTCTGAAGATCTAGTCAAGTATGCTGCTGGCACGGTCCGGGCTCTTGTTCCAAGAGTCTTCAACAAACTCGACCGGTAAGAATTGTGTCAAATATTAAGATGTTTAGTGTGAAAGGTTATTATTTATTGCTCAAACCAATGTTCCTGAAGCAATTAACAGTGTTCATTTTATAGTAGGCCTGTGCCAAGTCTGATGATTTCCCGATTTAAATCGGTTTCCCGATTATAATCTTTAAAATGGGTAGTCCCTCGATGTAAATCTGGTTTGAAATTAGGAGGAGGGGTGGGGTGAGGTTCCGTTTTTTCATGACTTGCCTGAACGCATCGCGCAATCGCTCGGAATTCTAAAACTTTTTTTAAACTTTCACTATCGACCCTGGCTCGTAATTGGAACTAATATGTTTAAATACGATAAATTAATTCATTATACATGAACATTCACAAGGGCACGCGTCCAAGGAAATATTTAATCGATTTTGTTCAACTTAAATAATTTTGATGAGATAACATTCATCAATTCATCACTTAAACTTAAGTTTTAGTGTGCACGATATATTTATTTGACAAATATTATTTTGTGATTACGTAATATAGTTAGTAGATAACCCGCCCGACATTTACATAATGATTTTGATGCAATTCGACTCATTTTCAATAATGAATCTGTTATCACATAAGATGCTGAATTGCAAAGGATGATGCTATTTCACTGTGATACTTTGCCAGTCCCGTGTGCTGGAGGACACGGGTTCGCATGCATGGAGAAAGTACCTTATAACACCAAAACTGATATAATTCATTTATCCTGTGGATTTTTTAATCATTTCAATGTATCTTATATTTTGTTTTATTGTTTCAAGTCTGATTCATCCTGCATGGCAGCAGTATTTCGATTGGATGTGTGAGGAGACCCTCCACCAGGCCCAGACCACTAAATAAAAGAACCAGGTCCAGACCACCAAATAGAAGAACCAGGCCCAGACCACCAAATAGAAGAACCAGGCCCAGACCAAGTAGAAGAACAAGATCGTGATCACCACTCTCATTAGTCACCAGTCGCGACAATAAAGTAGAAGCAAGAAGCTCTTTGATAACATTTTAGTAGAAGTTATGATAGACATTGATAGTTCTTATTGATACTAGATGTAGAGTTAAGATCCACTAAAAATATACTCGAGATTACCATTAATGATGAGCTTCAATATTATTTGGGGTACACGTATTACTCTTTAGAGTGAAGTCCCTTGAAGGAAAGTCAATTTCATCACGACGCTTTGGAAGAAACGCCCATGTTTTATTTTCTCGTAATCTTTTGTTAATTTTGAATGAAGACTTAGAAAAAACTGTTTGAAATAATCTTGTCACATAATGTTATTCTATTGAAAAGTGTGAATATGTTTTGATGAGCTTTAAAATGTAGCATAGTTATAGTTATGTAAACGAATACAGGATCCTTGTATATGGTGGGTTATCATAACTCTCGACTGAAAGAATATCTGGAAAATCTGATGACCATCAATTAGAAAAAGTTAAAAACATAAAAATATTATTGCGCTATTCAACCATTCTTGATTTGAACAGATTAAATGGAATATTAAGCCTCTATTAAAAAGGGATATAACATAATAACAATTATGATTATTATGATTGAAAGGTATAAATATACTTCTGTTTTGGAAATAAGTTCCTGTCCATCTATGTCGAGGATTTAATTCATTTCAAGTCGGTCATGCTGTACCTACTGGTTTTTTTTTCTCTAAATGTAGTTTAATTTTTCTGTTAACGTGGTCATTAAATGACGTTACAGTGTCTTATACAAGATTACCCATAATTATATCAGCGATACATGGCACCATCTTCAGAGGTATTAGCTGTTATTACTCTCTTGTGATTGTGTTTAATATTTTGTAAATCGTTATATTATGCTGATAATCAGGTGTTATCAATGTTTCTCTATAGATTGTCTGCAAGTATGAAAGTCTGAAAGTACAAACAATCTATATAATCATCCAGAAAAGGATGAAGATTATGAATCTATCTTGCTTAGATATGTTTTAATTTTGTTAATCCAAAGATAAAGGAGTGATGTTTTGTTTTCAGTATGTTTTTATTTGAAGTGTTATATTTCTTTAATGGAAAATATTTTTATGCTATTGTTTATTGTTATGCTAGTGTTAATTTTTATGCTAGTGTTTATCTTTATGCAAATTATATTTTGTTACATTCTGTTCACAAAACTCTAAAATGTGAGTATAAAATAAACACATGAGTTTAAATGAGGTCAAATTTGTGTGACGTCATCATTGTCGTCATTATAGCTCTCTCGGTATTATACGAGGTGTCATACTCGGGCAGCGAGGTCGTCTCGTCATTTCTCACATAAATCGTCTTATCTTTTAGTTTTCATTGACAGCATTGTGAATATAAAATGCCAGTCAAATTTCCATGCTACATTGCATCAGCATGACGAAGAAGAAAAAAATCCATGATTCCATAAAGACATACGTAACGTTCGTTAGAGATTGCTCATAATTGTATTGATCATGTTATATGGGGGCGATAATCTATGAAAAGGCGATTTTGTAAACTAGAAAGATAGTGGTCAAGGGTGTCGATTTGTATCCGTGGTTGGGGGGGGGGATGATGGGTGCCAAAATATTTTCGGCAATGGATCAAAGCAATCAAGAGGTAGAAGCGTGTGGCAAGTTAATTGCACCCCTCCCAAGCGCGTAGCCAGGATTTCATTTTAGGGGGGCGGTAGTGAGCACGCGAAGCGCGGTCCCTAGGGGGTTGCGTGCAAGGAGGGGGAGTTCCCCCCCCCCCTCCGCGAAGCGCGGAAGCTTTGACGTTTCACTAAATTATTAGAGAAAGAAGACGATTCGTTGGACCGTTCTCGACTCTTAATCCTTGTTTGAATCAAGTTCCCCTTCCTCCGTGCGTAGCGCGGAAGCTCTGACGTTTCATCAGATTATTAAAGACAGAAGACGATTCGATGTACCATTCTCAACTCTTATTCCTTAATGTTTGAATCAAGTTCCCCTTCCCCTTCTGATGTTTCATTAGATTATTGAAAAAAGAAGATGATCCTACGTACCATTCTCGTCATTTAATCCTTGTCTGAATTCATTTTCGCCCAATCCTGCGCGGAGCGCGGAAGCTTTCACATTAGAGAAAGAAGACGATTTGTTGTATCGTGTCCTTCATGAATTCAGTTTCTCCCCTACCGCGCGAAGCGTGGAAGCTTTGACGTCTCACTAAATTATAAGAGAAAGAAGACGATTCGTTGGACCGTTCTCGACTCTTAATCCGTGTTTGAATCAAGTTCCCCTTCCTCCGCGCGTAGCACGGAAGCTCTGACGTTTCATCAGATTATTAAAGAAAGAAGACGATTCGATGTACCATTCTCGACTCTTAATCCTTGTCTGAATTCATTTTCGCCCATTCCTGCGCGAAGCCCGGAAGCTTTCACACTAGTGAAAGAAGACGATTTGTTGTATCGTGTCCTTCATGAACTCAGTCCCCCCCCCCCCTACCGCGCGAAGCGCGGAAGCTTTAACGTTTCAATAAATTATTACTCTTAATCCTTGTCATTATTTATAGGTTTCATTAAATTATTCGTAAAAGAAGACGCTTGTATCGTGTACTTTGACGTTTCATTTGATTATTACGCTTAATCCACGTCTGAATTCAGTTCCTCTTTACAGCTTTGCCCTTTTCACTGAATTAATTGAGAAAGAAGACGATTCGTTGTACTGTTCTCTATATTAATCCTTGTCTGAATTCAGTTTCCCCACTGAAAATAATTTGTGTTACAAATAAGTTGTGACATAATAATCTTTCTCCAAAAATGAAAAATCTTTTAGGAAATATCAGGAAATAAAATGAGTGAAAAAAACAAAAATAAAGATACAATGACGTGAATTTTAAAAAGGGTGAACGGAAACAACATAACAACTAGAGAACTATTTTATAAGTCATACTAATGTCCGAAAATCTTTTTCCTTGTCTCCGATCTCATCACGAAATCGTCACAGAGTTCATCTATGTTTACACTGTCCAGGATTATCTGATGTGCATTGCAGATTGCTATTTTTGAACTTCGCGCTTAACATTTTATAGCTCGTTGCTTTTTGACGCTGCGCCTTTGCATTTGGCGCACTGCATTTCTATGATGCTGTTGATTGAACAAATTGAATAAATTCATCAATTCCTGATGAAGCCGTATGAGCGAGAATTCAATTTATTCTTGTTTCATATACGGTTGTCTTATTTACTTCGTATACATGTATGTATTATGAAAATGAGATAGCAAAATGTGTATATTGATGGTCATCTTGCGAGTAATAACCATTAACTACTCTCATCGGGCTCTCATCCTTAATTTTTCTCTTCATTTTTTTTTTTTGATGGTGAATTATTGGGGGGGATGATTGTACAGGCCACCCCCCCCCCACCTGAAATATTGGGGGGATATATCCCCCCATCCCCCCCGGGATCGACACCCATGATAGTGGTATTAGGGTAACAGAATGACAGTTTTTTCTTTTTGTATGATTGTTTTGAAATACAGGATAAAAGGGTTGTCATAACAATTATTTCTAAACTCTTTACAAGCAGGAGGGGGAAAATGGGTTATCGAATATGGTTGAAAGAGGGGGCGGGGGGGGGGGGGGCACACATCTACGAACTTGCGGTCCCCAGCCCTCGGGTCCTCGAATAATATACTTCAGACTACAAACAGAAAATAAGGAGAGAGAGAGATGCTACTTCAAATTACATAAATGATCAAAAATAAAGAGGAGTTGGAGAAGGAGGGGGAGAAGAAGGGAAAGATGAAAAAGAAAAAGAAGAAAAAGAAAATTGAAACCTGTTGAGGTTGTGCACAGTTAGTAGGTTTAATAAGTAAATGATGCATTTGTTGTGTTTGTAAAATGATGTATTTCTATATCTCTGTAAATACTATACAGGACGTAACGAGAGGTATTGCGAAATTCCCTTCCTCCACTTTCACCAGAGTGTGGGCTAACAATGTAATCACCAGGCAATACAGAATAGATGGATCCGATAGGGGACAGAACGTGATAATTAAGTAGTCCAATCACGACGCTACTATGCACGCTATGCCCGCACATAGTCCTGATGACGTACAAAGGGGTCGTCGGGTCAATTACGATGAACCTCGGACTAGATCAGTATGGGGAATCCCCGTCTGGGTTTTCCCGGTGCGGGTGCTTAGTCTATGAATATATACCATTCACTTCACAGTCGGGAAGGTCATGTTGTTTTGCAGTACTGTACAATAGCTTGGATGGGTATGATTGCTCTAATTAAAGACTGAAAAGTAAAACTACACTTTCTTGACAGGCGTGGTAAGTGTCACGGTAGAACTCTTTTTACAACGTGCCTCATAAAAAAGCTTTTTGAAAACATAATATCGGCATGAAAATAGTCGATAACAATTTGGTTTTATATATCTCTATCTGATGTATTGTTCGTGATTTCCCTGGGGGAAGTTCATTGTGCTTAGTCTCTTACCCCCTCTCCCTCCTATGAACGGTCGCATGTCGGGGTAGTGGTGGACTTTGCCAGTTTTCAAACATGCCTCGATCCCCTCCCTTGTAGCCACTTCTAATCCTCGATTCGTTCTTTCTACTCCATGGGCCGGACATAGGATTCATTCATCAATTATTTCGAAAGTAAGTCTACGTATGTGTGACTGTCGCATAATATTGCGAAACTAGAGAGACCTTGATACGGCCTAGATAATGGATGACAATTATTTGAACGCCGTGTAGTATTGTCAACATCACAACAGATTGTTAATTACGGGCGCACGCACGAATAACGACTCACAATGACCGGTATATAAGTTTCAAGCATTAACGCTAGAGATATAAATATAGCGCTGAATACACTGCCGATATACTTCAAGTAATCAACAAGTAAATGATCCACGATGTCGTCACAATCTGAAGATACAGAGGTTTTATCCCTTCATGATCTCGGAGGACGTGTAACAGACGTCGATGAAAATTCAGCCACTTTTACTGCTTGGAAATCGAGCTATGAAACACTCGAAGCAAAACTCACTGATAGGTCTATTAGCATTCTTCGGAAGTCTACAAGTTTCAAGAAGGTAGTCAGTAACGTGAAGGATTTCCTCTTCGAGGGTGACGAAGTCGTAATCAACATCAAACAGGACAAGACAGACCAGACACAGTGGAATGTAACACGCGTGCGACTGTGCCCTGATCAACGACCACCGCACTACGATGTAGTAAGAGATTACTTTGTGAGAGGAAAACAAGGCCCTGCTCGATGGCCGAAGAAACAAAGATGCCACGTACCCCATGCTCGCGTCGGCGAGATTGTTTCAATCATGAGCGAGATCTTACAACGATGGTGCAAGATCCCCATCAAGCTCTTCCATGACATCGTCGATGAGTACGGCGATGATCAGGGAGGAGTGTTCCAATCTTACGTCAAGACTAAGAGAGCCTTAACAAGTTTTATTCGTACTGTTCCTCAGTATTTCTACATGGACGATGATGACAGAGTATGCATGTACGAGGGATTCGATGATGAACTTTTCAAGACAGAGTTTGCAGAAATATGCTTGGTAAGTATTGATTTGAACATACATTTATGTCAATGGCAAACTATATGGTTGTGAATTGGAGCTTTATAAAACCAAGAATGTTTTATGATCATGCATGATGATATAAAAAGAGCCGCAAACAAAATGTTGAAAGAAGAATATTTCAGTGACATGGAATGATAGTTCAAGTGGTGGATCGGGGGATGGGGGAGGGGCAATTACTATTATGTTGTGTAACAGTCAGTAAAATGTTAAGGTAACAATCGCTCAGTGTGGTAAAGTATAACTTTCATTCTTGAGTTTTAAAACAATGCTATAATAAAGTACATCATTCCCGGGACCTTTCCTCACCCTTCCGATCCACGTACTAACCCTGGATGTACATTAGCTAACATACTCCGGAAGTTTGTAATGAATCACAATACATTGCGAAATATATTCTCATGAAAATGTTAAATTTAGTTTATTGAAGCAACCGCGGCTGTACAACTGTGCTTTTTCCGGCTCTCTTTGAAATAATAAATCGGTTCAAAATGTTATCGTACTCATAACATTTGGTAGTGTTTGTTATAATTTGTGTCGCTTTGTGTGTCTTTGTGTGTTTCTTTTTTTGTTTGTATTTCTGTCATATAAAAAGAATATACAATGAAAAGGAAGTAGCAAAAAAAAACAAAATTTACAGACTTTTACATACTATACAGTTTACATAAGCAACGGTATTAATTAAATTAGTTTAAATTCGATGATTTATGTACGATGTGTAATGATGACATTATTGTTAATCCATGTTTCATTTATCATCTTAGTCTCTCCCACAATGGAATCGCTCATACCCACTGAGTGAAGTACAAGTTATCCAGACAGTTCGAGATGGGTATGCAGTCCTCCAACCCCTCCTCCAGAGAGCAGAGAGACTGTATGGCACCGGTTCGAATCCCGGACTAGTAGTCGCCTTAGATTGTGAAGGATGTTCACTGAGTAAGTATTTACTCTTCTCTTAACATGATTTGGGAACGTAAAGATTTCTTGAAGTGGTACCTCTTTCCAATTTTTGTATTGTCTATACACACCAACAGTATTGACATTAGAAAATGGTATAGTTCTCAAAAGGGAAATAATGCCCGATTTGTAGGGTAGAGAAAGACATATCAGGTGTTTTATAGATGGCGGGGGTCAAACAACGGAGAGGCTCTTTTTACTTCTTCATACAATGTTTTAAGAGGTTGAAAACAATTTTGTTTTCGGTCGAAGTTGCACTAACGGCTTTCTTGCAGGAAGCCAACGTTATTGTTATTTCTGTGACTTCCGGTGTCTAGATAAATACCACCAAACTATATTTGGTGTTCCTCTGTTAACTCATAATGGTGTATTAAAAGGGACTCAGCATTAATTAGAGTAATCTCTATAACTCCCATACTTTATCTTTCCTACATGCTTGTATATGTCTGTATAGGTAAGACTGGACGTCTTACTCTGGTGCAGATAGCTACTATGGAAGGCAAGGTATATCTCTTTGATGTCTACCGATGTCCTTATCTCTTTCATGATGGTCTTCTTGCCGACTTCCTCGAAAGCGAAGCTGTCCTCAAGGTATATCAAACTTGAGTGAATAGGGGGGGGGGGGCAGTTGCCCTTACATATTTTCCACATAAATGAAGAAAAGAAAATGGTCCAAACCTTACTATAAGGTCTGTTTAGCCCATCATCATTCAACATTTATAATGTCTTTTAAATCTTATTTCTAATTGTTATTTGAATGTCATGTGGTATGAAAGGAGACATGCTTTAAGTAGCGGATCCAAGATTGTCAGAAAGCATATACCGGGGGATTTGAACAACTTTTTGTCCCTGGGAAGAGTAATATAGACAGTTTTTATTTTAAAGGGGAAGGGAGGTGCTGTGAAAATGTTACCTTCCTAGATTCACTTTGAACGTTTGTGTATTAAAATATATGCAGGACAACTATATGTAACTATTATACACTAACAAACATATATACAGTGCGTCCCAGAAAAAATGAAACTGAGAATTATCGATGTTTCATCATAACTTGGTCACATTTATATTATTAATAAATTAATGATACATATTTTGAAAGCTTAGATCCTCCTCTTTCATTTGATGTAACTCATATGATGCATATTTCACGCATAAGTGATTAATTCAATTTGAAGAGAGGAAACCAAAACGTCATTTGGCGGACGGTATCTGAATTTCAACGGGATAATCACATTTCTAAAAAAATGAGTTTCTGCCCTTTCATATGACACCTCAATCAGGTAAAAAGAGCTAGGAATGACAAAGTTCTGTTTGTTTAAAGTAGTGCTTGATTTCCATAATGTTATCAAACGAATTCGTTTTCACTGGCTGCCTGCCGTAGCAACAAGCAGAATTGACAAAAGACTTAAATCTGTTTCTTTGACAATCAGCCGTAGACGAAAGACTTCATGCATGGCTGATTGTTAACGAAACGGAGTTAAGTCTTTTGTTAAATCCGTTTGTTGCTACGGCAGTCAGTGAAAACGAATTCGTTTAATAAAATTATGGAAATGCAAGCACTACTTTAAACAAACAGAACTTTGTTATTCCTACGTCATATTTCCTTATTGAGGTGTCATATGAAAGGGCAGAAACTCAACTGTCTGTAAAAGTGATTTTCTCTTTGAAATTCAGATACCGTCCGCCAAATGACTTTTTGGTTTCCTCTCTTCAAATTAATTTTAATCACTCATACGTGAAATATGCATTATATGAGTTGTATCAAATGAAAGAGGAGGATCTAAGCTTTACAAATAATGTGTCATTTATCAATTATAATTGTGATTAAGTTATGATAAAACATCGATAATTCTTGGTTTCGTTTTTTCTGGGACGCACTGTATATTATATATATATCAAATTTAGAATGCCCTCTAATGAAAGAAAAAATACATAATCAATAGAAAATGAATTGATGTTTGGTGTTTATCTTTATTCTTAGGTGATACATGACTGCAGAAAAGATACGGCTGCTCTTTATCATCAGTTTGGTATTACCCTTACCAATATATTTGATACCTCGGTGAGTAAAAGATAGAAATAGATAGAAATGGTTTATTAAAAAGATCATCGCAGCCAACGGCCGAATTGCGATCCATTTCACAAACATACAATACAATTGCAATTCAAATTAAAATAACACAAAATATGAGATAAATAAAGAATCAAACATATAGAACTGATATTTCATAAAATTCCATTGATCAAATTCAATTTTTTATTAAAAGAAAGAGAAAGAGAGAAAGAAAGAAAGAGAAAGAGAGAGAGAGACAGAGCGAGAGAGAGAGAGACAGAGAAGGGGGATGAAAGAGAGAGACAGAGCGAGAGAGAGAGAGAGGGAGGGAGGGAGAGAGAGAGAGAGAGAGAGAGAGAGAGAGAGAGAGAGAGAGTTGAAGGGGGAAAGAGAAGGGGGAAAGGGATCCCTATATTACAGATGAGGGAAGATGGCAAGAAACGTTCAGAAATGCAGAAAATCGAGATAAAAGCTATCAAAAGTCATTCACATAGTACAATCATGAACTGTGAAATTACAATTTACAGTGGTATTGTTAAACTTTGATTGAGATCTTAGAGAATAAGTGCTTTGTTGTCCAAGAGGTAAACATTCTTTAAATTGTGGGTGTTTGGCAAGAGCATTGGCAAAGTCTATAACGGCTCAAGTCTTGCTTCTAATGAACGTAGATGGACCTTCATGATTCATTTAATCTCATATAACTTGATTAGGTACGAATAGAAAAACAAATCCATGTATTAAATATATACTACCAAATATAACTTCACAAATAGCCTTATAAAGGCAGTTTATACGTACAATAGCTCATTATAGGATATAAGGGGCCCTGGCCTAAGGTGAGGGTTATGTGGTTCAAAGTCTTATTCAAATTGTAGTAATCATTGGATTCACCTCATGTATTTAAACATTTATCACCACATGTTATTTCTTCTAGGTTGACAAGCTATAAATCAATCGATTTCTTTCCAGATTGACTATGTAGTCCTCCAGAACCAGTGTCAAGTAGCAGGAACTAAGCCTAGGCCTAGGATTAGCTTCCAGAATCTCTGTGAGATGATTGGTGAGGAGATGGACTTTACAATCAAGAAGAGTATCAAGAAGAAGATGGTGTATATACCAAACTTCTGGGCTACACGACCTCTCAAAACGAACATGATAAACTATGCAGCCGCTGACGTATACATGCTCCTACCGAACGTCTACCAAGTATTACACGGGTAAGAATAATGCACACATAGTAATATTGATTTGATTACCAAATACCAGCACAAGGAAAGAAGATGAAACAGGAGGAAAAGAAGAGGAGGAAGAAAGGATAAAGAAGAAGGAAGAAGAAGGAAGAAGAAGGAGAAGAAGACGGAGAAGGTGACAAAGGAGAAGAAGGAGATGAAGAAGAAGGAAAAGGAGAAGAAGAACTCTATCAGACCATCTTTAAGCTGTTGAAAACATGTGTAATGTATATCATAACTTATAATTAATATCACTTTTGTTGTTGCTTTCTTCAGATTGATCCATCCTTGGAAGAGTGTGTTTCAGCTCATGTGTCAAGATGCAATCAGAAAAGAGATTGAAGATATCTAGAATGGATAAAGCTAGGGCAGATTCCATCAAAGATCTTCCATAATGCTTCAACTTATAAATTACGGTTTAACTCTATTTCATCACTAAGTCTTCTTTATGATATGCTTCTCCACGTTTCCTTGTGATATCCCCCCTCTCTCTCTCTCTCTTTTCCCGGATCTCTCTCTCTCTCTCTCTATTTTCGCTGATCTCTCTCTCTCTCTCTATCCCTCAACATCATTTTCCTACTTTTATATCCCCATATTTTTTCTCTACATACAAAATCATGTCGAGTCATTATTGTACATAAAGAGTTGATATTTTCTATACAAATATAGACATGTTTTTATTTTGTTTGTGACAGGCTGGGTTTGTAAGAATTTTTTCAAAGAAAATAATTTGTTGTCATAAATTCTAAAGACTGATCTGAATGGATAAGAAATGAGCATGTAGAGTGGTCTCTAGTAAAACATTATCAATGTGAAGAGTATAGTTTTTGATGAAATTCAGACCAAGGAAACACTTTTGAAAATAAATCATTCTTTTTCAGATTACTTTTACAAGCTACTGAAGCTCAGTTCAAGAAGGTAAAGTCCCAGGATTTCACTGATCATTTTAAGGCATGAATGTAGTTGTAGAATTAAAGAAAAAGCAACTGGTAAAAACAATATATCATTTTGAGTAGGGAAAAAGAACATTATCCCATTTATTAGTCAAGCCACTTTCCCACCAAGATGTAACAGGGAACAAAAATTGTATATCAAATTTGTTAGATGAAAGACTTGAGTTTCACACTATTTCCCCCTCCGGAAATCATCTTGCAAATTGGTGATCTGACAGGTGGCATTACAGTGGTTTTGTATGGCCATAATTGTTTTAGAGTATGTCATGTTTTGCTTAAATCATAAACTTTATGTTTATTAATCAAGTGTCTTTGGAATGATTGTGATAAAATATTTTGTATTTATCTTTTAGAAAAATGAAAAGGTAGAATGATTTTAGTTGATTGTTTTATGACTGAAGATGTATAGACATCACTTACTGGCAATAGGCCCAGTTGGTCCTTCCATATTTATAGTGCAGCATAGACAAGTATCTAATACCGATTTTCTTTTGGGAATTAGTTACTCTCAGGTAAACAAATTACAGCTAATCAATGTTTTTAAGTTCTGATTGGTCTTTTACCATTTTGTTCAAAGTGATGTCATTAATATGTAATAAATGAAAAACAAATCATGGCAGATATTAACATAGTCTAAAGTTCAAGAGTCTGAAACAGGAAGTTTTAATCTGTCTTCATGATACATGTATCTTAGTCATTTGTGTTATTTTCTGGTGAAATGGTCGAGGTGTATGAAATGCAATACCTCTAGTATCTTGTCTGATTAAGAGGAAAATCAGAAAGATAATGCAACGAAAATGTCTCTAATTGCCCAGTTGCATGATACAGAATGTTACTTCCCTACACGGCTATAAACACATTAACCTCCAAGATACACGGCAACACATTTGCAAAAAAACTTTGTACTCTTTGAAATAGTTTATTGATATATTATCTGATCATGTACCCCACAATGTACTTTATTTATAAGTTTAACTAAGAAACACATTTACATTAAATGAGTGTCTCTGGTACCACCTTCTATGGTGGAGCTTGAAGGCAGAAACAAATAAGTTCAAAGATCAAAGATTGTCTTTGTGTTCTGTGTTCACTGTTATTGACCTTTGACATAGACTATCATAGCAATGCACACATTGGGCTTGAATGGAAGGAGAAAAGAAGATAAATGAAGATACAGAGTGGTCTGAAAATAAGTTAACGTGTTATAGATATTTGAAAGTGAGTATTGGAATGGGGAATCTCCCTACTGGCAATGAAATCATGTATGTCTAATATCATACAAGGATAACTCTCTCATTAATTTTGAATCAAAATTCATTTTAGAGTACTACTTTTCTCAATTCCAGTGATGGCACGGATATTTTTATAGAGGGAGGGCTGTAAAAATATGTTATCCATCATGTGTCATTAGCAATACTCTGTTCCAGAATTAAAATAGAAAAAAAAAAAGGTAGAATTGTGTACATTTCAAACAGACTTTCTCCCATTATGAAGCTACACATTAAGACTGAGTTGCCAGTGTGAGATGACTGATGGACTAATCTTTACTAACTCATATCTTTCATATTGTTTGTCTAACTTTTCTCAAAATATAATGAATTTGTTCCACTAACACTCCTTTAAGTAAGGCCAATGTTCCTCTTTAAGATAAATTTGAATTAAGAAGAGATACAAAATGAATAATGAAATCTTAAATAACTTTACTGAATCAATATTGTCTATTTCATTAGAACTGCTTTTTTCCTAGTACTGTACCTTAAAGAATACACATCAAGAGTTGAACACCTTTAAAGGGTATATCCAATCTTATCACATACAGGACTTACTGACAGTCCTACCTCAATCAGAAATACTGTTCTTCATTTTGCATTTTACTTGTTGCATATTTCACCAACATCAGTTGTTACATGGTGTTCATCCAACCGCTATTCCAACCTCAAACAGGTACCCTTCATCTATGATATGACATCTAGATTATCAAATGACCTGAAATATAAATCTGGTTGTTCCGCTCTGCCAACTCAAACAAAACAGGTACTGTTCTTCATTTTGCATTTTACTTGTTGCATATTTCACTAACATCAGTTGTTACATGGTGTTCATTCAACCGCTTATATGCCAACCTCAAAACAGGTACCCTTCATCTATGATATTACATCCAGGTTATCAAATGACCAGAAACATGAATCTGGTTGTTCCCGCCCGCTCTGCCAACTCGGTCCTTCAACCCATCTGTCCAGGTGTGGTGAAAGCTGGTGAAGGCTTCAGAAATGAGTTTGATGAATACTGGACAGGAAATCCAAGTAATGAGGTTCTTGAAGATAGAAGAGAGCAGAGAAAGAACACATTACCTACATTCATGTGCATAACAATCAAACACAAAGAATTCATTCAAGATTATACCTAGAAATTTATATGATATTCACAGAAAAGTACTTTCCTATTCAAAGTAGGTTTTCCAAAACTTTTTTTTCTGAACTTAACCAGCTGACAACATGTAGCTCTTGAATAGGCTAAGCTTCCTAAATGATAGGTCAAGGAAAATTATTGAAATTACCAAATTTAGAATGAATTACATCGGTTGCATGAGTAAATATATGTATATATACTTTTTTTTAATTCATAATAAAATAAGGCAAGGACCAATCACACCAAACAATGCAACTAACACCAATAGAATCATTAGAAATAAGTTCTAAGACACCAATGGCAGTTTTGATGTCTATAGTTCAGACAAAATAGTAGCAAACTTCAGTTTGCAAGTACACATACATATGAGGAAGGTATCTGAAGCACAGATATAAATTTTGGATGTGTCATAGACCTAATTTCTTATGATTTCAAGAATCGTGATGAACTTGTTGAGCAATAAATGAAAATGAGCCTGTGATTGAAGAGTTTGTTCTTACCCTCATCATGAGTGATGTATCCATGTCGTATCAGGAAGTCAAGACATATAAGGCTGCAGTTTGGTTTGAATCTATCTGTTGCTATCTCCTCTTTAACCTGGTCAGAGGGTAAATAAATATACATGTTTAACATCATTGTGTTTCATAAAATGAACTTGCACATTACATAAACCCTTTCATCTTTCAATTGTGTACATCAAAGAGATTCAGTGTACCTACTAAATGATCTAGGAGGACTGCCCACTTGCTCATCAGCTCTTCATCATTTACCAGACAGACAAAATAAGGGAAGCATTAGACAACAGTCATGCTTTCTATTAACCCTATTTAGCCCGGGCTATTTTGAAACTGCATAGCCCAGGGGGGGCTTCTCAGGCCCCCCCCCCCCTGTGATCTCAGCCGTGAAACGCCCGATCGCCGCGAAAATTTGCATACATGTCAAGTGAAGTGTATAGAATACTATGGTAATTTCAATTTTTTTGAAAAATTCACTCATTTGCACATTTATGGTAATTTATGCAAATAAGGTCATTAAATTCACATTTTTGCCCATAAATCAGACATTATTCATATTTAAGCATTCTTTCTCACTACATATATTTGTTAGACCATTTGGAATAATAATACAACACAAAAATTTGAAAAACCAGGGTTATTCCTTATGTTATCTATTGTTTTGATAATTTCTTATGTATTTCTTTGTTTTTTTAACTTATGTATTTTATTGTTTTTGTTGTTTTATTTCATTTCCAACTATAATTCAACTATTTTGACCCCAAAATAAACACCTAAAATCTAAACAAGACCAAATAACCAATGTTTTACCTCTTTATTTGAAAAATGAGATTTCCATATGTTTTGTACACAAATCACAAAAATGAGCGATTTTCGGGCTGACATGCGAAGACAAAAGGACACGTGACTTTGTAATGGTAGGTCCGATTTTCGAAAAATTTCTTTCAAAAGTTGCGCAAGACTCGAAAGAAAAAAGTCACAAAATTTCAGTGCAAGATTTTCTTGCGTTAAAAAATTATCGCGAAAAATGTCGAGGGGGGGGCTTCTCAAGCCCCCCCCGGGCTAAATAGGGTTAAGCCCCACATATCAAAGGCAAATAATAAGTACTTGATATTGTATTTCCAGTCTTCTCTAATGATATACACATTAGTCCCATCGGTACAATGATTCCTACCTTGCTAAGGGGCCAAGAGCAGAACTGACTGACCTCCCCATCCTTCACTGTAGGCTCAAAGTCTGCTGGTAATTCTAGGTCATAGATGAATTGGGTTTCTGGGAAGAGACCTCGTTCATCTTCAGTGAAATAGCTGCAAGAGGAAAATAAGGAGACAAAGTAGAAGTAGGTAAATATATACCGGTAGACAGATACGGAATGGTTAATTCAGAACGTAAAAGAAAAACAAGATACCCTAGTCATTTTCAGGTTAATGGGCAACTTGGATGTGTGCACTCACAACGCTAAAAAGTTAAAACCATTATTTTCTTGATATCCTTTCTCAACAATGAAGGCAAAAATTGTTACCTTCCATAAATTATTGTATGTAGGAGAGATCAGCGTTCAAAATACACCGGGGGCTTGAGGCGATTCGCCGTGAGCTACATAATCGCCCCAGTCAGGTTGCTCAGGGGGACAATTGCAAAATTAACCAGAACGTCAATGACATAGCGCTCATCCGCATCTCGCAACAACAAATATTGTAAATTTTATGTGGTACACTTTTGAACTGGTCGAAAAATCAAATTTGCAAATAATCATCCTAATATTTTGCACAAAACTTTAAAAATGAAATGAAGGAGAAGAAGCATTTTTTGTTGTTTTTGGAATAAATTTGAATAAATTACCATGATTAATCAATGGAGCAAAATCTCAAAATTCTGTGTAGAATTTTAGTAAACCAAATTTAGCTTTACCAGATAAAGCAAACCAAATCAAAATCGGTCAAGAAATGAGGGAGAAGAAGCAATTTTTTTTCTGGAATAAATTTGCATAAATTACCATAATTAATTAATGGAGAAAAATTTGAAAATTCTGCATAGAGGTATAATGTACCAAAGTTAGCTCTATGATATAAAGCAAATCAAATCAAAATCGGTCGAGAAATGAAGCATTTTTTGTGATTTCGGATAAATTTGCATAAATTAGCATAGATAATGAATTTCACGATTCTGTGTAGAAGTTTTAAATCCCCCTTCTAGCCCTATCATATGAAACAATTAGAATCAAAATCGGTTGAAAAATAACAAAGAAGAAGCATCTCGAAAACTGTGGACGGACGGACGGAAGGACGGACGGACGGACGGAACGACGGACGAACGGACGACGGACGCCATGCCATGGCATAAGCTCATCAGGCCCTTCGGTCCGGATGAGCTAAAAATGTGCGGCTCGGTAAAGAAAGAATGTAAAGGTTGCTCCGAAGCTTTAGCTTGTAAATTTGTAAGAGGGAAAATGCTGACTTAAATAAATGATAATGATGAAATAACAAAGAATTGAGGATTATCATAGGTACCAATTCAATGGAAATTTGTATGAAAAAGAGCCCCCGTCAGTCCTAAAAGAGCCCCCGTGGACAAAAAATTAATTTGAGCCTTGGGAGAGATATCTATGTTTTTCAAGCCCAAATTAAACCATACCTCAAAGGTTAATTGTATGGTCTTACCTTATTGCACCTACAGAGACAGCTTTAGAGCTGATGTTTCTTGGTATACTAGCTTCCTCTTCACTCTCTTTCATCATACATTCCTTGATGCTCATACCAGCTGGTAATCCACCTGCAGCCTGTGTGCGGGTAGGGGGGGGGGGAGCAGGTTAATTCAATTGTTTAAGTATCTGTCTCTTTCTCTTTCCTTTTTCCCATCCATATCTCTTTCATACATAATGTCTTTGCACTATGAACATGACAGACAAAGAAAGCGGACGAAATATACAGTTCTTCATTCTACCCTCAACAATTGCTGTGGTAGACAAAGGAACATCCCTTCACTGCTATTACTGTATCATGTAAACATAAGTAGCATAGGTGAATATGCATGTGACGCCTGTTCTACACATTTTTACATAATAGCAGTGAAGAGATGTTCTTTTGTCTACCACAGCAATTGTTGAGGGTAGAATGAGGAACTGTATATTTTGTCCGTCATCTTCATAGTGTTGGTTGCCCTATAGTTAGGCATTTGTGCAGTTTATAGTCAACAGTATCAACAGTCTTATCATTTTTTTCCCCATTCAACAGACCACATTCTAGTTTTTGTTATCGATACAAAAACACAGTAAATGCCACCAATGTGCAACACGATTGCCAGAGGGGAAATTGTGTGGAACTAAAGTTTTTACAACTAACAAATGAATGGATGCATTGTCTAATAGGTCCTTCTTCATGCCAGGTGGGTGTAATCACTCTCAATTTTGTCAAGCATTTGACAAAATGACACACGATATCTTTTTCAAAAATATGCAGAAACCTATGGCAGTGAACAAAGTAGTTTTTATGTGGGCACCAACGAAGAGTAACTTATCAGAGGAATATCCTCAGGGGTGCTTCATAGGAGCATAGTCGGACCCCTATTATTCAACCTATTCATCGATCACATTCCAGCTTTCTACGTTTGTTTCGTTGAAGAAACTGATTTTCATTATGTTTTTTGATTTGCAGATACCATTACGTAATTCAGTTGTCGACGTGTTTGTATGTGCTAATTAATGTAAAAACCAGCAGAGCACTATTGGGTTTTCCAAAGGCGACATCTTGCGATGTTCGCTTACAAGTTTTTCATGCAAGAATGCCTCATTAATAATGAGGCAATTAGTATTTCAACAGTATATCCTGACAAGATGTGAGTAAAGCTTGGTGTGAATGTGCTTATTTGTTCTAAACAAAATGGAGTTTCGCTCAATGAAGTGTACACATGTACACGTATAAAGTAGATAGTCTTGTGTGCAGACCATTTGATATAAAGTATATATTTGACATGTATTTGACACATTGCTAAGAATAAGCAGTATAGACATATTAAAGGGCATTTTTTTCAGGCCTAATTATAGCACTCGATTATTTACAATGTACAGGAAAAAGCTGATATGGTGGTTTATTTATGGCTGTATTGATAGACTTTGAATTAATGGTCAGAATTAAGACTAGCTGTTGGTATTGCATATGGAGGTTGCCGTTGGCTTTGCAACTATACACATGGTCTTACAAAAGGGAAATTTATGATATCTGTTGTATTCTGGTAAAGCTATTTAATGAGTATGACAATCGATAAAGTCATTTAAAGGGATTTCTGTATGGGTTTTAATATGAATATTAGTGACTTGAAAAGTGTGTCACATTTGTTATGAAGGTCAAGAGAAATTATTTGACCTTGTGTTGTCATTCATAAAACCTAAATGTTAAAGAGGGATATTTGTAGAAATATTATAAAAGATATAAGATGCCATTTTGGTCATTTAGTAGTTATATCTATATTTAAATTAGTGCTTAATTATTCAAGAGAAAAAGGATATTCAGGCAGATTTGCATTTTCTGTTATAGAGGTTACATTTATGATTGAAACTGATATGAATGAGTCAAGTTGACTATGTATTTATGAATTCATCAATTTGTTCTTTCAGATTGAATAAAATCAAGACTTCGGCCTTATCCGATTCCAAGCGGGATATTCTGGCTGAGTTCCGTCTTTCTTAAGAGCAATCCAATTTTTAACTTTGCTCTTTCTTTAATAAGTGTATGATATGTTCTGTGTAACTGAGATCAAAAAGAACTTCTACCGTAAATTAAGCACAATTACTCTATTTAGCGAGATCATACTGAAAGAAGATGTTTATGTTTTTTGTGATTATTCATTAGCCATCGTCCCAAAAGCTATACAATAATCACTATTGTATTGCATATCCTTAATATTGCAAATTTGTTAGTTTTAAGTAAAGGATTTAAGTTTTATGTACTTATTTTGTTTCACATATTCATACATGAGTTTATAACACGTATCAATGTTTTCTAACCTGGTCACAGGTAGACCTGCGGGTGATGGTTATTAAGTTGGCTGTTTCCATACCAACATGACTACCGGTAAACTAGCGCAGCCAGTGTTTTCAGTCAAATTTAGTTTCCTTCTGTATATGAATGTATTATTTTATCCTGATTTATGTCAATTTGCCAAATGACTTTTAAAAAATAAAAAAAATAACACATTGTGTAGTCGGGCATGTTTTCCTTCTCCCCAGGGTACCAATCTCACTTTCACGAATGCTTTGATAATATAATAACAAGCCAAGGTTGTCAACTTGTCATAGAGTTTTATGGAATTAATGTAGACAGTGTTAAGGTGAGGTTGGCCAAGAAAAGCTGAAACTTAAATTCCCTTTGAATTATCATTTACAAAAATATTACATATATTTTAATGTTTAAATTTTCGCATTAATGGGTGAATGTTTGAATACTGTTATCATTCCAGGTGAATCGCTTCCTCCCTTCTACAAGATGAGTTGTACAATTTAGTTCTTGTCTATATCTCAGTTTAAGGTACATCACCCAGAAGCAATAGACATGATAATACTTACAATCTGATCTAGTTTTCCAGGGTAAGTTTGTTTGGTAGATGATCTCTTTCCAATCCACATACATATACCATCTATTGGATGTTTGTAGTAACCATTCACATGGACTCCGTACTGTTTGACCCCAAACAGACCTGAACAGGAAACAAACAAGCGCGTCTTTGTTTTACTTCAATTGACTGGGAGTGATGGTCTAATGGCTTAGGCCAACAATACAAGTTAAAAAATGTAGGAAACTGAAAGCTCATTGCAACCCTTTTTATAGACTGTATGAAAAAGCTACTGAGAAAGAAAATTATGGAAAGCACACTGACAGCTCTCTTTGGACAACACTGGAAATACCCTCACGTAACGTGATTATAACTTTCAAGAACTCGTAACTTTTTTATTGTTTGTCCGATTTCATTCAAACGTTCACTCATCAGCTCCCATTCAGAGCGATTTGCTATTGAGGTTGGATTATCTCTTAAATATGATCTCCACCAAGAAAACATTCTTAATTCTGCTATCCACTCTCACAAAGACAAGACTCATCTACTTTCAAAACAGGGGTGTACAAAATCCCATGCAAACATGGATAAGGATAAATTGGAGAGATGGGACACAGCCTGGCTACAAGACTTGAAAAAGAATTCACCAGCTTGAACTTTCTCTGAACGATAATAAAGTCCTTGCAAGGATTATCCTACATGGTTACCACAAAATCTGAAATTGTTTTCTTAAACTTACAACAATAGTTTTACACTACACTAAGCAATAATGAAAGTGACTTACATGTAGCTGACCGTTCCATTTCAAATAGAGGGGTGTCATAGTATGACCTGCTAACTGCATAATTCTAGGATAGACAAAATACATGGTACAAGTTCAGAGTCAAATTCTGCTTAAAGAAAAATGAAAATGAGGAAGTTAACACAGCAAAGTTAAAATGAACCTAACCCCTTAAAAAATGATTTGCAGATATAATGTTCCCTACAACAACAGTGGTTGAAAATAAAAGACCATACTAACAAGACTTAGTTTCTACAAAATTATCACAGTTAGAGAATGAAGTAGTCCTATGCCTAGAAACAGATGTGAAGGAAGGTGAGAAAAGGCTTACAAAAACAATGACTGCACTCAAACTACAGTCATAAACAAAACCTTCTTTTCCACAATTTGAAGGTACCAGCAAGAACAGCCCAAACTCTACGGAATGCTGAACATCAAGTTGGCAAGGCCCTCAAAACTCTTGGTTTCAAGAAGGAAAAGGCATTATACACGTTGTACCATAATAAATAGGCACATATTATTCATTTGCAAACATTAAGTGTACATTTTGTCTGATTTAATGATAATGTTTTTTGTCATTACCTCAATTTAATATTACCTTCAACAAACCAATTCTTTCTAACGTAAAATCCTCAAGATTATCTAACCTCATTCCTCCAGCCCTGAAGTGTAATAAAGTTGCCTGATTGACGACATTTGGCTATAAACTCTCCAACCCTAGCCGTCCTCTCTGCGTATGTGGTTAGGGAAGGAGACAAGTGCACTTCATTGTTTTTAAATTCAAAGAGGTCTGGTTGTGAGACTGATAATGCTTCCATCATGATGGGTGGTATAATACCAACCTGTCTTCCATTAACAATGAAAGGAAGGTAGCTCAGCTTCAAATCACCTGAAAATAGATATGCACATGAGAGGGAGTCATATACTTTATGCAATGCAGATAGCTATACTTATTATCTTCTAGCATGGCAAGGAAACATACAAAATGGGTGAAGAATTTGCTACTTCTTTTCATTATAAAACAGGAGACCAATTACCAAAATATTGTGCTCTGTATGCAAGGGCTGCCATGTCACTTTAACATGTTTACTTCTATGAGTTGTAAAAATGCTCTTTAACCTTCAACTCAACCTGTGAGTAGGATTGTCATTGAAACTGGATGTACACTCACATAGGACAGTGCAGGCACAGAACACAAGTCCAACTTGGGTCCTGGGGGAGAATTCTTTAATCTTGTTCATTGCTTACTAACCCAAAGAAAGCTGATTAAAGTTTGGGGTGTGTTTTTATACTAACTGTACACAGATCTTTGCGTGTGTGTGTGTGTGTGTGTGTAATTGGGTTTTTACAGACGTGTATCAATCAGATATGTCTGGGGACCCACCTTTAACGTCATCATCTGAAAGACTTGACTCACATGACCCAAACATCCCATTTACAGTGTTGTTCTTAAAGATGAAGTTGAGTTCTGGTCATGCGATTGCATTGTGAAAGAAACGGTGTGGAACCGACCAGAAAAGGTTGATCATCTAGCATATTAGAATTTGTGTGTATTGCAAGGTTCTGGAATCATCAAAATCATTAGAAATGTGGCCAAGTCTTGGTAAAGTTACAAACACTTGCACAGAAAGATGTATATGGGACTACACGAACATGTGGCGTAAAAAGCCGGCCCCCCGATTTTTACGATGTTACATGCATATTTAGAATATGAAGGCTTTTGAAGAGCCATGCTTTTCAGGGAACATGTCTTAACTGATGTTCTTCCACACTTGTAAAATAAGAATGAGTAATGCTCCCAAATTATTTTTCACCTCTTCCCAGAACTCAACCTTCTCTTTAAAGGATCTACACAAAGAAAAATTCAATACAACTGATAATTAGAACAAATTACATATGGATGGAAAGATTTTCTCTTGAAAAACATGAACAATTTGCTGAGAAATCATATAAATATCATGGAAAGGCGTAAAAATGCAATTTTTCAAGACCCTTCTTAGACCCCCGAACGTCCCTGAACGTAAGCCAAACACACGAGCGTAGCGAGCTCTGAATAGTCACGTCACACACTGGACAAACAGCTCAGTACCGGCCGACTACCGGAGTCGCGCGTGTATTAGTCTGCAGCTAGCCAGCCGTGTCCCGTGTGTGACGTCACAAATATTGACGCTCTACAAAGCACCGCTGAAGGCAGAAAATCTGGATCTCGAAACTAACAATTTTGAGAGTTGATTACTGCAGGCCCCAAACAAATTTTGAAGAGGAGAGTTGTTATATTTGATCAGTAAGGCTTCCCCTTCGCAATGATATGAGTTTTGCATCAATTCAAAACACTTTTGATTCTTTGTGTGTCTACTTTAAGGGATTACCTACAGCCTACATGCTAATCCCCTTAATCCTATTATAGCCCCTATTCAGGATCTGACAGTTACATTCATGAACCAATGGCCAGGGAAGTATTTTATATTTTTGAACATATTCGAATGAACAGTCAAACCAGCTAGTGACCACCTGTCTACAAAGACCACATATTTTGTTTCCCTTAAAAATGGCTTCTCATTAAAACATGTACTGAAGGAACCTGTTTGCAAAGACCACTTGTTGTGTTTCCCTTGGGTGGTCGCTATAGACAGGTTTGACTGTATTTACCTTCCCAAACAAATGATGAAGCAGCTTTCTGCACAACATTCCACATGCGCCTTGACCATGTCTCGGTAGAGCTCACTGACATCGTGTTCAAACTAGATATGGAAAGCAATGGAAATAAGCATGTTATCAACTAACAGTTCATCAGGATTCTTCCTTTCATACAGCCTAGTCTTAGAATATAATTGCAGCATGGAACCCAACACTTGTTCACTTAATACCTGTTTTGAGGTAATATCTGCCCCCCCCCCATGGGAGATAAAACAACGGAGAATCAGCCATGTTCTTTACCTCCTTTTATATGATACAGGTTTTTATAAGCTAAAGTGGACCTATGGGTGACTGCTCCACTTATAGAGTACCGAAGCTGTGACATCATAAAAATAGAAATTTGTTCTTCATTTTCCAAAAGAGCATCAAAAATAATGTCCGAAGATCGAAAACCAATTGAATATGTTAAGTATTGGCAGAGACATGACCATCTAAAAGAATAGATGTCCTATGGGAACTCAGAGTTTTAGTGCTTTGGTTCCAAAAAAATTTCACTCATTTGCATATTTATGGTAATTTATGCAAATAAGGTCATTAAAATCACATTTTTACCCATAAATCATATATTATTCATACTTGAGCATTCTTTAGACCATTTGTAATAATAATACGACAATTTGGAAGAGCCAGCTTATTCCTTATGTTATCTCTTGTTTTGATAATTTCTTATGGATTTCATGGTTTTTTCAATTGACGTATTTTATTGTTTTTGTTGTTTTATTTCATTTCTAACTACAATTCAACTATTTTGACTCCCAAAACAACCACCTAAACTTTAAACAAGACCCAATAACCAATGTTTGATCTATTTTTAGGAAAAATGACATTTCCATATGTTTTTTACACAAATCACGAAAATGAGCATTTTCGGGCCGACATGCGAAGACAAAAGGTCATGTGACCTTGTGACAGTAGGTCTGATTCGCAAAAAAATTATTTAAAAAGATGTGAAGACTCGAAAGAAAAAGTCAGCGAGTGACGGGGCGCTATCCATATGCGTTCCCAAACAATCAGAAAATCGTGGAGGGGCCTTATTAGGGTTAACACAGGACTACATCTAGACCACTCCAGCAAAGCATAGAGAGTCATAGACTGAATTTTCTGTCTCTTTCGTTCGTTAGGGTCGGCTCTATAGAGCCGACCCTACCCCAATAAGAGGCTTACGAACAAAAGAGACAGAAAATTTGGTCTAAGAGAGTCACTGCTAATGCGTATTGACCTCTAGCACTGCACTACATGTTAATAGGCAGCACTTGAATACATGAATAGTCAATACACTCATAACACACAAATGTACATAATCATGTTGATGCGGCTGATCGGCAAGTTTGACAGTAGACTTACAATTTGAATTTTTTAATTATTCTTTCTAACATCGGTAAGTTAAAAAAATTGTATTTAAGGCCATGTAAAATTGATTACATGTTGATCGTCCGGATTTTTTGAAAAAGAGGAGGAGGGTGTACCATGTTATTTGATATTTGATATTTCAAAATGGCCGCTCAAAATGGCCGCTCGGTACATTTTCCCTGACAGTCGAGGCTATTTTTTTTCAAGATGGCCGCCGACAATTTTTTTTTTTTTAAATCAGAAATAGAGCCATTTTAGCAGTGTTTTTCATGTTTTTTTTCTTTCAAAAAAAAAAAAAATCAAAAAAAAATTCAAAAAAAAAAAAAAAAAAAAAAAAAATAACAAATAACAAATAACAAAAAATAGGAGGCGGCCCCCAAAAAGGAAGCGGGCGGGGACGATCAACATGAAATCAATTTTACATGGCCTAACTGCTATTTATCATCAATTGTCACTAAACTAAAGTACCGATTTTGAGTGAAGTCAGTTGAGTTTTGTACAGTGGTGTTTGAAAGTTGAGAATCAATAGCACAGCTTTTAATACACAGCCTGGATAGTAATGCACCTAGGTGTGATCTAGACCATTACATGGGCAGAGTATTGAATATCTTTCGTTTTCTTCATTCATTCATTCATTCATTCATTCATTCATTCATTCATTCATTCATTCATTCATTCATTCATTCATTCATTCATTCATTCATTCTTGCATCATTCCTTCAGTTTTCTCCCTCTTAACTAGTTTACTTCAATTCTGTCTATTTATTTCTCACTCTCTCTCTTAATCCCCATGCTTTTTCCAATATCTTTGTTCCTCCTTTCCTTCGCTCTCTCTCCTTTTAGACTAGATCTAGATCTAGTCTATGTCTTCTTTATTTTTAGGTGGGCTGTATCTAATACAGACCACCTTATAATTTTGTTATAATCGCCTTTATATATATTTATTTATTATTATTTATTTATTTTTCTTATTTCGACCCACTTTTTTGTGTGCAAGATAATTTGAAAATGGCTCCATCAAATATCTTAAAATTTGGCACACATATGTATAGGCATATGCACAGAACACAGCAAATTTTTCGACCTTGACCTAGACTGATGACGTCATCTAGGCGCCATTTTGTGAAATTTTCTGAAAATCAACTCATAATCACATCTTCATAACCAAAAACCATTTTTCATTCATATTTATGATGATCAAGGTCAATATCCATCCTGTCAATTTTTGGTCCAAAAAAGCGCGCGTGCACGTATGTCCGCGCGTTGATGCGCGTGCAAAATTTTAAAATGCTCAAAATCGTCTCAAATTTTTTTTACATACACGTTTCAGGTCATTTTAAGCATTTTATAAAAAATCGCGCATACGCGCGCGTTTTCGCGCGTAACACCATTACAAAACATAGAATCGCCATTTTTTTTTCTTTCATGATAATTTCCATATTTTTTCAAGCAATTTGATACCATGTTCATCTCTTTATGACCATTCATTTTAAGATGAGCGTCCATTCAAGATAAATGTCCGTGCGCGCGAGCTCTTATAATACATATCATATATGGGCAAAAACATGCCTATACAAAATCCATTATAGCTCTTTGGAATGCACCGGGATCCTCAATTTTTTTTCATATTTAGATAGAGTATAAGTCGGAGATATGATTTCATGTCTCATTTGGCCATTAAGTGTATCGTGACATCATAACAATGGCCTTGGAACTCAAAATACGAATTTGCATATTATGACGTCAGCATATTTATGGAAAATTGATTGTAGATCTATCTCTGTAAATATTGATCAATTTTCTTCAAAATTTCAATATGTTGTAGCTAAGACAATTATCTACAAGCTTAGTAATAACCATTTTTCATTTTGATGACGTCATCATAGTGAAAATCTCGATTAAAGGCCTCATGTCAAAAGGCCTTCATAATTTGCGTTATCCATATAGATCTAGGCTACTAGTACTAGATCTAGATCTAAACTAGGTCTAGATCTAGAAGGTGAATTTCGTTCAAGTCATGAAACTACATGATATTGTTTTTTAAGAATTTTTAAGCAGTATCTCGCTTATTTTTGCTCTATTTTGTCTCAAATTTAAGTTGACCAGCCCACCTATACTTGTTCCAAACAAGTATTATATGTAGTTATTTTTCATCCTACACCGGTCGAGTGAGCCTACACAGCCTCACTGCCCGCGCCCGCTCCCGTGAACATGCGACGAACAGCGATTTGGGGATCGCCGGCCCTGCCTTGCAAGTAGTCTAGACTACAAAATGGAAATAATAGATCTAACTTTGTTACTACACTATTTACATGTAGATCCAAATCACAAACTAAGGGAAAAAGTCATCTCACCAAAATAAAAGTTGAGGACGGGTAATTTTGCGTTGTCACAGACACGAATTTCGATGATGTATCATTCTGAAATTGTTTAGCAGCCTCAGCTTGTTCGTGACTACATGCTCATCACATCACAACACAGTGTTCAGAGCGCCCGGTTAGAGAGGTTCATATGTTACTGATTTTGTGGTTTACATGCACGTTTAGAATACTAGAGCGCTCGGATCGAGGAGGAGGAGGAGGGGGTGGGGGCATACTAGTGAATTATTTTCATATTGTTACTTGTAACTTGATTGGTTCTAGTACCATCATTGTACAATATCACCACGTAAATACCTGCTGAACTTAGAGAATATATTGTATGTTTGTATAAAATTTATAACGTTTAAATCTCAGGGGTTTTAGGAATTTAAAAACGGTCAGATGAGCATATTTTTATACCTCATTTGTGACACTGGCAGGTCACTAGACCTCTATTCTTTCTTTCTTTCTTTCTTTCTTTCTTTCTTTCTTTCTTTCTAACATTCTTTTAAAAAAAGAGGGGTTGGGGGGGGGGGGGGGTTCCAACCCCCAAGCCCCGCCGATCAGCGGGCCCTGACATGTAGGCTTTTAAATGAGCATTTCTTTTTGCCTGACTGTAAATTTGGGCATTTGTCATTTTCCATAAACGCATAAAAAGTACAATTTACAACAAAGTGAGAAAGACGTATGAATTTTATGGGGGGGGGGGACTGCCCCCGAGCCCCCATCAGTACTCCAGTGAACGAGAGGGGCAAAGGTGACGGTAGTGTCTACCCCCTTACAGGGTTTTGACGTTTTCTACAATATTTACATTTTGAAGGATCACATGCGAGGGAGGTTAGCGACCATGCGAGAAGACTTTCGCATTTTTATTTGTCTAAACGCTGCCCTCTATAGGGCCCTCCAGAGCCTAAAAGTGTGTTGCAGTCTTTAGTCTGTATTTGCTACACCATTTTTTACACCAGTTTCGATCTATTTGGGATAGACTTATCAAGTCCTTCTGACTTCCGATGTTCGTGAAATTGACTATTTATTTATTTATTTGATCATCAGTATTTACAATTGTAATTCGTCTTAGTGGGCAACTGTCACTTTCAATCAGGATGAATATTATAGTTATTAAAGTTAATTGTTCATGTAGTAAAACAGTAAAAGTATATAGTTCAAAACAGGAAATGAAATATTTTTTGAAAAGAAGAAATAGACATGGTTGCGGTGAAATTTCTTGCCATAGTAAACACACTTTTATCTCTTAAATGATTAGTGTGGGGCTTTATAATCTCTCATACAATAATATTTCCCTATTTGAGATAATGTATTTTTCAACCATCAGGAAGTTTGAACAATGTATACCTTTGGATTTTTTGTTGATATTTTAGTCAGTAGACAAACATGACATACATTTATTTCAAGGAGAAATAAATAGAAACCTGGTCTCCCTTTATTAGTTGTGTTCCAAGGTACCTATAGATCACAATGTATTGTTCATATAAATTCATTTTGCCAGCAGCCGATCCAGCATTGTTTTGGCAAAAAGTTAGCAGGCCAGCTTTCGACCTCGAACTTTCGAGTTCTGGTAAATAGGACATCATTCTGGTTGTGTTAATTCATTGACGTGCGCGTTTCAGCTCTTCACGCGAGGCGCCATCCGAGCGTCGCATTATTATATTAATACGGATTTAATTGCCAGCAAATACTATCCACTTCACTTTTCATCACTGGCGTACTGCCCCCCCCCCCCCCAGGCCCCCCCTCCAAATAAAATTGAACAATGACTTGTTTTCACAAGTAATGTATAAATGTTCGTGATATCATATGATTTTCAACAAAATGCTATAGTTTCTCCATTATTTCTTGCAAACTGACCCATTCCCAAATAGCCAGGAAGAGCATATGTTGTTTTTTATAGTCACTAAGGGCCTTATAGTGGCCACTAACAGTAACACTAATTCCTTTCCAGAAGCTACTGTGCTAAGCACTGTCGGGAGATAACATGCTACCCACCACTCGGGCTGAGCATTCACAGATTTACGAACGAGCGTTCCATACTTACATCATGTAACACTGCACATATACCGTTAAGGAGCCCAGTGGGGGGGAATTGAATTCAGACAAGATTAAGAGTAGAGAAAGGTACAACGAATCGTCTTCTTTCTCTAATAATTTAATGAAACGGCAAAGCTTCCGCGCTTCGCGCGGGAGGGGGGGGGGGAACTAATTTCAGACTAGGATTAAGAGTTGAGAACGGTACAACGAATCGTCTTAATCTTTCTCTAATAATTAATGAAACGCGAATATGATTTCAGACAAGGATCAAGAGTAATAATTTAATGAAACTTGAAAGCTTCCGGGTTTCGCGCGGGATGGGCGAAAATTAATTCAGACAAGGATTAATAGTATTGATTTATTGAAACGTCAAAGCTTCCGCGCTTTGCGCGAAAGGGAGGGGGGGGGGACGGAATTCAGACAAGGATAAAGAGTCGAGAACGGTTCAACGGTACAATGAAAATGAATGAATCGTCTTCTTTCTCTATAAATTTAATGAAACGTGAAAGCTTCCGCGCTTCGCGTGGGAGGAGGGAACTGAATTCAGACAAAGACACAATAAAACGATTCGTCTTCTTTCTCTAATAGTTTAATGAAACTTGAAAGCTTCCGCGTTTCGCGCGGGATGGGCGAAAAGGAATTCAGACAAGGATTAATAGTATTTAATTTATTGAAACGTCAAAGCGAGTCGAGAACGGTTCAACGGTACAATGAAAATGAATGATTCGTCTTCTTTCTCTAATAATTTAATGAAACTTGAAAACTTCCGCGTTTCGCGCGGTATGGGCGAAAGTGAATTCAGACAAGGGTTAAGAGTCGAGATCGGTACAATGAATCGTCTTCTTTCTCTAATAATTAAATGAAACGTCATAAATTCCGTGCTTCGCGCGGGAGGGGCGAAACAAGAATTAAGAATCGAGAACGGTACAACGGATCGTCTTCTTTCTCTAATAGTTTAATGAAGTATCAAGGCTTCCGCGCTTCGCGCGGGAGGGGGGGGGGGGGAATGAATTCAGACAAGAACACGTTACAACGAATCGTCTTCTTTCTCTAATAATTTAATGAAACGTGAAAGCTTCAGCGCTTCGCGCGGGATGAGCGAAATGAATTCAGACAAGGATTAAGAGTAATAATGTATTGAAACGTCAAAGCTTCCGCGCTTAGCGCGGGAGGGGGGGGGGGGACTTAATTCAGAAAAAGATGAAGAGTCGGGACCGGTACAATGAATCGTCTTCTCTCTCTAATCATTTAATTAAGTGTCAAGCTTTCGCGCTTCGCGCGAGAGGGGAAAACTGAAAAATGACTTAGTTCCTGGCCCCGGGTTTAAAGGGTTAAATTTGTAGACATTTGGACATTGGCATTTTTATATTTGTCGGTAATAATATTGGTGGCTCGTTTTGTAGGTAATCGGCGGCCTCTACACCCATCCCCCTCCCCCACTGAAAAAGATCTAGCGACGCCCCTGATAACGACACAGTTTATACACTCGAGATAATTTTTGCAAGTACTACTGGTGAAGTACCGGACCACCGTCTTTGTGCATTGTGCGGCATCAAAGCATAATTTATACGACGTCTCACGACGTGACAGATCACTTTTCTCTAACTTCTAACCAATCAGAGGGCCTCTTTTTTTTCCATGAAGTGCCGGTGGACATTTAATTTAATGCGCCAAATGTGGTTCATAAATTGCAAAAGATCCCTACTCTTGGAAGGGGTAGGAGAAAGCAATTTTACGTCATATTACTCCAGGAAGTGCCTGAAAATGCGACTAATTTGGTTCTAAAATTGCAAATGCTTCTTACTCTGGGAGGGGGACAGAACCCCCTCCCAGACCCACCCTCTGCTTGGTCGCTCCGCTCCCTCGCCGTTAAAGCCTCGTTCTGTTGCTTCATCGTTTTACATATATTTCACCACATGCCATTTTGTGCCCCCCCCCGGTAAGAAATTCCTGGATCCGCCACTGATGCCCATACCCCTTGAGCTTCGGGGGCTTTGCCCCTAGACCCCACTTTGAGAAACGTAATTCAGCGGGGCCTGCATGTTAGAGTGGGGTGATTCGGATTTTTTTTTGTCAGCCCCCCAAACGTTTTTGCTCATTACGCCACTGCTTTTCATTGTGGTAAGGCGTATGCTTTTCTACCTCTTAATCATGTTAGTACGTTGTTGTGACTTTGAGAACCGTTAGCACCAATCAGAAGAGTTTATGAGAGCGATACATGATAGTGTAGGAGACTCAAGTTGAAGACCTATACTTATAAGCCTCTATCTGTGATTCAAAAAGTGGTAAGAGTACTTTTAATAGCTATTTCTTTACAGATATCTTATATCTTAAATCAAGGAAATCGATATCTAGACTTTAGTATACTCTATGAGGTTATCATTTATTGTTTTCTTCTTCATTTTTACTTTTATGCAACTTTTTAAAATGTTATTTGTCAATCTATGTGATAATAGAAATAAAGTATTACCCCGATTGACAAATGGTTTTAGTAATCAGCAAACTATGTCTTGCTATGTCAGATAAGCATCGACAAACCTCTTGAATAAATTGTTCTATTGAAAAAGATTACATTGAAAAGTTTTAAATATTGGGAAATAGGTAATTTCCTTCCAAAAAGAATGGTGCATTGGAGTTGTTCTCGAGCCAAGTGCACATAATCGTATTTTCTTAGTAAGGTGTATGCCAAGGAACAATTATACTTAGAGTAACTATCCGCCAAACAATCTAATGGGATCGAAGGTACAGGTTGTTCTATTATGGGTGCAAACGATTGACAGGTAATGGGTTTCTAGTGACTAAAGACAGAGTATACTGAACGTATGACATTGAGTCAACGGACTTTTTATTTCTTTGTAAAGGTTATCTATTTCGAATGAGGTCGTTATACTATAGTTCGTAAACTTGATTCAAAGCATCACGTTCGTATAGATTGAAGCAAAATGTATCTAAATAAACAACATGAAGGAGCATGAATATAAATAAATCAAATCATTAGTTGAATTCTAATCTTTGTCCAAAATTATTTCCAATATATTTGTCATGCTCTTTTTTTGTATGTGATCAACTTAGACTGGTATACTCATAATTTTATGATAATATTAATTTTTGATAGAAAAATAAACTCGGGTCTATCTTGCATCACATTTTTTTCAGATTCAAAGCAACGAAGAAATAAGCTCGGCGATCTTAAGTGTGTAACTTGTAAATCTAAGATATGCCTGTCGTCATATGAAATGAACTAGCATAAAAATAGAACTACTTGGTCCAAAGAGATTCAAAGCCATTCACGATGGCACCAACCAAAACAAGTGGTTTTACCAAACGGAGCGCTAACGTCATCTTACTTGTAAGCCTATTCTCTTGCGTCTACTTCTGCCTCTTTTTGTGGGGTAAGTCAGGATTCATTTCTTACTAAAATTATAATGATAATAATAATAATAATAATAATAATAATAATAATAATAATAATAATAATAATAATAATAATAATAATAATAATAATAATGATAATAATAATGAATAAAAATGATAATAATAATAATAATAATGATGATAATGATGATATTAATACAAATAACAATTATAATGATAATAATAATAATGATAATGATAATGATGATGATAATAATAATAATAATAATAATAATGATAATAATAATAATAATACTGTTACAAGTTCTGCAACATGAAAGAAGGGTATTATCAATTATAATAAGATACATAGGCATCATCATTATCATCGTCATTGCACCATCACCTTCGTCATCATCATGTTACATCAAGCAGCACTCGTTACATGTAAACAATTCGTATTATCGTCTTTAAGAAAGTGGAAATTATAGTTATCTTTGCTTTGAATGTAATCATGGTATGAATCATTGCATTGGGAAAGTTGCGGCTAGTACAAATGGATCGGTGTCGTGGCGTCGATATAAGAAAGTTAAAAGATATAAATAGTAGTCAATTATATTTTGAGTTGATTTTGTGGGAATTACTCTAATAATTGAGAAGACAGTGGCTTATTTTAGGTCTATATCTGATCAAAAGAGAACTGGTAAAAGTTTTAAAAAACAGAGCCGCCCGTGAATTCACTCGTTTAAATAGTGTTTCCTTAAAAACAACACCCAATTTATACAGTAGGTTTGCGGTTGCACCATGTGTGAGTGAGAGAGAGAGGTTTGAGGTTTGAGGTTTGAGCCACTCCTGACGACGGATAGTCAACCCGTTCGAAACGTCGGGCCACTCATCCTCTCCAAGCGCTATAGTTCTCCTGAGAACTATATGCTAAGAAAGATAACAAAAAGTCCTTTTCAGGACTACACTCCTCCAAGAAAGATTACCGAGTCAGAGTCCTTTTCAGGACTCCTCAACCCTCTCTCTCTCTCTCTCTCTCTCACATGGTGCACCCGCAAATCTACTGTATATCTACATCACCATGCAAGCCGACACTTACAAGCAGCATCTAACACCCAATTTCTTGAAATTAAGTGGGATTTTCTTTAAACTTTGAAAAAATGCCTCTATCGTGGATTGTTATTTGGATTATTTGCTGTGGGGTGCCAAAAGGCATATTGTCGCACAGTACCAGATTGTGAACTTTAACTTTAAAGTTTACAAACAACAATTTATACTTCAAATGAGAAATGGGCTAAAACTATACATTTCTCAGCGGCGGTTTCAGGATTTTTTTATTTATTTATTTTTTTTTTTTGGGGGGGGGGGAGGGATGTGGCAACGGGTGTGCGAAGCACACTGCAATCGCACGTAGCCCTTCTGGATGGGGTCAAGAGGCAGAGCACATTATGAATTATTTATTGGGGCTTATCTTGCTTTTCAATGGATCCGTACAACATGGCAGAGATTGGGGGGGGGGGGGGGAGCTGGCAGAGTCCTTGCCGGTAGTTCCGGGGCAGAGCCCCAGGACGCTCTCGAGTTTTAGGAATTCAGAACCGTTTTGAGCTATGGTAACTCACACTCTCTCCTAATTTTATACAACAGCGGTTTGTCTTGGGAACTACTTCTATCTTTACGGATGGGGTGCGGGGGGGGGGGCATTTGTCGGTAGTCTGGGAGGGGGGATGCTAATGCCCACATGAAAATCACAGAGTACAGAAGAAGTACTTATCATTTGCCTTCCGCACTCCAGATCCTTTGAACTATCTGCACTACAAAATGTCCAATTACTTTTTCAAGTTAGTATATACCGACATACTGGCCAAAACTAGAGTGAAAAGATATTTACAAAAAGCACCTTTTCGGCTCAAATTCATATTTCACACACTACATAACTCAATGAAATTGATATTAACTACACTCTTAGAAAAAAGGGTGCAAAAAAGGGTGCAAAATAAGAGTTTGCACTTTTTACCTAAAAATGAACCCTATTGAAGGAAAAGGGGTTAAAAAAAGTGATTGTAATTTTGTATTTTCCTTTGGCAATCATTAACCAATAGATTATTTTGTCTGATCATGTTACAATTACATTCACGTTTTAGCAATAGATGTATTGATTATATGATTACTAACCAAGAAACATCATGCATGTTTAATATGTATTTGTGTACGAGCGAATTTTCCAGTATTTTTCGATGATGGTGATTTTTTACCTAAATTGTTAATGTTAATTAATCCCAATTCCGTTGATATCGGCATCAAAAAGTAAATAATTTAACTCTTTCACATGACACCAAGTTCATGGTGGTTTAAGATTTCCTTAGAATGTTATTTACAAAATACTATTTTTCGTCAAAAGGGCCTCTTTTTCAGACGCCCCCTTATTTCTTCCCTCGCTCTCACCTCTCCCCCCTCTTTTGGCAATTATATTGGGGGCAATTCCGCCCCCCACCCTACCCATCCTTCATAGCTACGTCACTGCTTCAATGAACATAATTATGTCTTGTTTTTTTTCTTCTCAGACGATGCCGTGATTCCACAGTTCCTTGAATCGAAGAAAATGATGAAGTATGGAAAACAATATGATTTTACACGAGCATCAAATGACGATTCTAATGATTCATCCAGAGCCGTCAATACCTGGGAGCTTCATGGAAGCACAATTAAAGGTTCAACAGAATCATATCCTGAACAGCACATCGCGATTGATACTCATGCTAACATTGTTCCGACATCTGGACAAAATGCAGTACAGAATAACGAGGTTGGACGATTTTCAAGTGACAGCGTATTCAAAGAAAATACATCTAGAGAATTTCACATGCCATATGAAAAACATGCAATTTCAAATAGGAACGACAATGTTGAGATCCTACGCTCGTCGCTTCCAATCCTTGATAAGCCATTGCAGTCAGCATCAGCCAAACGTGTTCAAATCATAATTGTCACAACAAAACGCTCTGGATCATCTTTCATAGGAGAGTTGTTTAATTCGAATCCAGAAGTTTTTTACATGTACGAACCTTTGTTTCAAGTGACGTCTGATGTATTGAAGCACCGTATTGACAACAGACAGGCCGAGTCCTTGATTTTCTTGCTGTGGAACCACACCCTCCGTTGTAACTATTCAACATTTAGCCAGGGGCCTAAGAACTGGTTGAGACGAGGTAGTTTGGACACTTGTCAGGCATCAGGCGCCTTGCTTAGCTCCAAGCTTATCTGTCCAGTACCAAAGATTCCCGAGCGAAAGGTTGGTCCAATCATTTCAAAACTGTGTTTAGATCACCCCTACACAGTCCTAAAAACCATCCGTGTTAACGACATCAAGGATCTGAGGGTTTTTATTGAGGATCCAAGTCTAAACTTACAAATTATCCATCTAGTCCGCGATCCCAGAGCGGTCATGAATTCGCGCCGTAAACTCAAAAGACCAAACTATGATCTGTTGCGACGGAAAGGTCCTGATGCAGATGAGATCAAGGATCTGTGCGAGCATATGGCTCGAAACTTACAGTACAAGGATGATCCACCCAGCTGGCTAAAGGGCAAATACATGTTAGTACGCTTTGAGGATGTAGCCGAAGACCCTATAGAACAAACACAGCGGATTTATCAGCATGTGGGAATTAAGATTCATCAAGATGTACTCGGTTGGTTGAAGAATAATACTCATGAAAATAAGGGTCAGGGGACTGGTAGCCCATTTTCACGAACGCGAGACACTGACAAAGTCATCAATGCCTGGAAGAACAGTATTTCAGAGGAGGTTAGAGAAGCGGTCGAAAGAAAATGCAGTCAGGTGATGAGTGCGTTATCATATCAGTATGGTTAAGAGTATAACAAGGACATACATTATAAATCCCGAGATGGGGTATACATCCCCTCCCCCACTTTGGAATGAGAGGGTGTGGGGGAATGGGTGTCGATCCCGGGGGGGGGGGGATGGGGGATATATCCCCCCAATATTTCAGGTGGGGGGGGGGGGTGGCCTGTACAATCATCCCCCCAATAATTCAGCATCAAAAAAAGAAAAAAAAGAGAAAAATTAATTATGAGAGTCCGATGAGAGTAGTTAATGGTTATTACTCGCAAGATGACCATCAATATACACATTTTGCTATCTCATTTTCATAATACATACATATATAAATAGAAAACGAAGTAAATGAGACGACCGTATATGAGACAAGAATAAATTGAATTCTCGCTCATACGGCTTCAACAGGAATTGATCAATTTATTCAATGTATTCAATCAAAAGCATCATATAAATGCAGTGCGCCAAATGCAAAGCCGCAGCGTTAAAAAAGCAACGAGCTTAGTAAATGTTAAGCGCGAAGCGCAAAAGTGCAAAAAAGAAGAAGAGAGTGGGAGAGAGAGATAGTGAGAGACAGAGAGGATACAGGCGCGTAGCCAGGGGGTGGTGGGGTGGTCGCGCCCCCCCCCAAAAAAAAAGAGAGAGAGAAAGAGAGAAAGAAGAAAGGAAGAGGAAGTAAGAAGAAAAAGGATTTAGAGTCGAGAACGGTACAACGAATCGTCTTCCTTTCTCTGATAATTTAATGAAACGTCAAAGCTTCCGCGCTTCGCGCGGGAGGGGGGGGGGGGGGGGGGGGGGGGGGGGGTAAGAGGACACTTTTTTTTTTTGTCTCGAAATTTGGAAATTTGACATTTTGCTCAGTTGGGGGGGGGGGGGGGTAAGGTCACCTTTTTTAGGTCGGCCGTGGGCATAAATTTTTTTTTTTTATTTATTTATTTTATTAAAAAAAAAAAAATTACCAAAGGGGGGGGGTTAACCCCCCAAACCCCCCCCCCCCCTGCGTACGCGCCTGGAGGGAGCAATCAGTTAAAAGTTGTCCGGTGGGGCTTTATTAAATCGCTCAAAACGATATATTGTTTTTAAAAAAAAAAAAATATATATATATATATATATATATATATATATATATATCTTTAAAACATGATGTGGTTTACGTATAAATCCATATGTTCGTTCAAACTTTTTCAACCAAGAAATAAAGGAGGGAAGACAGTGTAAAAAGAAAGAGAAAATGAAAGAACACATAACAGAGAAGGAGAGGGGTATGGCAAGCGCTCGTAGCGCGCTCCCTAGGGGGTGGGTGCACTGGGGGGAGTTTCCCCTCCCGCTCGAAGCGCGGAAGCTTTGAAAGAAGACGATTCGTTGTACCTTTCTCGACTCATAATCCTTGTCTGAATTCAGTCCGCCTACCCTGCGCTTAGCGCGGAAGCTTTGACGTATTATTAGGCAAAGAAGACGATTCGTTGTATCTTTTTCGACCCTTAATCCTTATCTGTATTCAATGCCCCCTCCCGCGCAAAGCGCAGAAGTTTTGACGTTTCATTAATTTATTAGAGAAAGAAGACGATTCGATGTACCGTTCTCGACTCTTAATCCTTGTCTGAATTCAGTCCCCACCCCACCCCCTCCACCTGCGCGTAGCGCGGAAGCTTTGACGTTTCATTAAATTATTAGAGAAAGAAGACAATTCGCTTTTCCGTTCTCGACTCTTAATCCTGAATTTGAACTCAATTTCACCCTTTCCGCGCGAAAGCGGAAGCTTTGACGTTTCATTAAATATTTGGGGAATGAAGACGATTCGTTGTACCGTTCTCTACTCCTTTTCCCTTTTTCTTCCTACGTCCTCTTACTTTTTTTTCTTCTCTTTCTCTCTCTTTAGTTTTTGGCCGGCGTTTTTTTTTTTTTGGGGGGGGGGGGGTGGGGCGACCGCCCCCACCACCCCCCCCCCTGGCTACGCGCCTGGGGTATGGACAGTAAAATCTATAAATAAAGAAGACATAAAGAGAGAGAGAGCGAAGGAAAGGAGGAATAAAGATATTGGAAAGAAGCATGGGGATTAAGAGAGAGGGTGAGAAAGAAATAGACAGAATTGAAGTGAACAATTAAGAGAGAGAAAACTGAAGGAATGATGCAAGAATAAAATTGTAAAGATAGAAAAGAGATGAAGGCTATACAAAATGGAAAGACACACGAGATAGGAAAGCTGATGAAGAAAGCAAAAATTAACCAATTTTATTTAAAGGGAGAGAAATATCACTTCAGCGTGTACTACTGATTAATACTGATTATCGCTGTTCGAATTTTCAAGTGTGTCTCATTAATATAATAGCCATAAAAACTGAAAGATTGAATTTAAAACAAACATTGTTTTAGACGCATAGTGGTGTAGGTTGCTTACTAACGAGCATTCATGCTTTCTTAGTAGTCAGGTAAAGTAGCCGCAACCAACCAACCACCATAGATACAGTAGGCTTACGGTTGCATCATGTGAGTGGGGAGGGGGGATTTGGGAGTCCTGACTGTCGGTAATCACTCCTGACGATGAATAAGTCAACCTGTTTGAAACTTCGAGTCACTCCTACCACCATAATTATACATTTTACTCATTTCGTTATTCTCTATGTTCAAATCCTTATTTATAACCTGGTTTGCAATTTTTTGTTTGTTAAAATCGTATTTTGTAATTTTCTATATTTATTTATATTTTGATGTGTTGAAAAAATGTATATATACATGTATTTGTTTGTGTCATGAAGGGCCTCAACGAAAACCAGTATTTATTTGCTGATTGGGCTATCCTTCTTTTTAAAGATGTGTAATAAATATTTTTTTAAATATAAAAACCACCCATCCTCTCCTACCGGCCCAATATTCCAAAATGTCTGTTTTTACTCGCCGTACGGGCCCGGAGTGTATAGGCATATATGAAAGCCCTATATACGCAGGGGCGTCGCTAGATTTTTTTCAGTGAGGGGAGGGGGGGGGGGTGTAGAGGCCACCGATTACCGACAAAACTAGCCACTAATTACCGACAAAATTTAATGTCCCAAATTCTACAAATTTAACTCTATAAACCCGGAACCGAAGGCTAAATTGTTTTTCATATGAACTATCTATAGTACTTGCGTATGTGCAAATGGTCCTTTTCCTCGACGACATGAATAAACGAATTATTTCGTCAACCTAGTCAGCATCATCAGTGGCGGATCCAGGAATTTCTTACCGGGGGGGGGGGGGGGTACAAAATCGCATGGGTGTAATATATGAAAAACGATGGAGCGAGGCGTCAGCGGCGAGGGAGCGGAGCGACCAAGCGGGGGTGGGTCTGGGAGGGGTCAGAACCCCCTCCCTGAGTAGGAAGCATTCGCAATTTTAGAACCACATTAGGTGCATTTTCAGGCACTTCCTGGAGTAATATGACGTAAAATTGCTTTCTCCTACCCCCTCAAAGAGTAGGGATCCAGGGGCGGATGATGGGATCTGGCTTTTTGCTAAGGGGGGAGGGGGGTTGACCCAATGACGACACGGAGCATCGTCCACGAGACCGCGAAGCGGTGAGGCAATTTTTTTGTTGTTGCTATTTTGAACCCCCGTAAGTGATGTTTTCCTGGCATCTACTGACACAATAGAGACCATAAAAAGCAGTGCATGATAATTACGTCTTTTAAAATCAAGTAACAGTTTAAGGGGGGTCGACCCAAAGACGATGCAGAGCATTGTCCATGAGCCGCGTATAGCGGCGAGGCGATTTTTGGGGGTGCTATTTTGAACCCCTGTAAGTGAAAACAGGCTCATATGGTTCAAAAACTACTTAAGTAATAGGAAGCAAGTGGTATACTCCAAAGGAAAATTATCTGATACAAGAGAGCTTTCTATCGGAGTACCACAGGGCAGTGTCCTGGCCCCCATTTTGTTTCTTATATTCATAAATGATATATCTGAATGTATAACTGAAGGCGTCTGCAACATATTTGCTGATGATGTTGTAGTCACTGTTGCAGATAGTAAGCTAGATGATGTTACAAAGAAATTACAAAAAGATATTAATGCTCTTAATAATTGGTATAAACAAAATCGATTACGCATGAACACAAGTAAAACCAAAACAATGTTAATAAAACTAAGATCCTCTGAAGTATTGAATATATACATAAAAGATGAACCGATCGAACAGGTAAAATCTATAAGGTATTTAGGTATAGTGATTGAAGAAAATTTGAAGTGGAATGTATATTTAAGAGACTTATGTAAATCTATTGCCTATAAAATCTATTCTCTAGAAAAGCTGAGTAAATTCGTAATCCCAGAACTATTGAACACCCTTTATAAGTGTGTAATCCAACCCTGTATAGACTATGCAATATCTGTATGGGGGAATTGCCCAGCCAGCTACAAGCTGCCCCTTCAGAGATTACAGAAAAGAGCTGCTAGATATGTAACTGGTATCTTTGACTATGAACTTGCAAGCGGCAACACATTGATAAAAAAACTGTCCTGGCAAACTATTGATCAGCGCCGTGATTATTTTCTGGCTATGCTTATGTTTCAATGCATAAGGGGCATTGCTCCACCTCGTTTATCAAATGAAATAGAAATGTATTTCGACCGCCATGGCCTAAACACAAGAAATGCAAACTCCCTTAATGTAGTATTACCAAAACCCAACGTAACCTTATTCAAACAATCTTTTAAGTATGCTGGAGAGGTTAATTGGAATAAGCTTCCCAATGATATCCAAAATGCCAAATCAGTAGAGAGTTTTAAATATCAATATAAAAAATATTCCTTTAATGGATAAAATTTGTTCACTGCCGTTTCTCCTCACTACTACAACATTATCGGAGTGACGTTGACCCAGGACGACATCGACCGCTCGCATCGAACAGGAGCGAAGAAGCCCAACGCAGGTCGCCCTAGACCCATCATCATCAAATTCACATCCTACAAGAAGAGAAGTGAATTCATCAGAGCACGACGTAAACTGAAAGGTACGAAAACAACAATCCAGGAGGACTTAACTACAAAAAACCAAGAACTCTACACAAAA